AAAAAGGAGCCTACTGTTCACAGTGGTGGAGGTAAAGCAGGTAGCTTCCCAGAATGTGTGCAAAGTAACATCTTTAGTTTGGTTCTCTGGGCTTCAAGTGAGAGGTGAGGCTTGGTTTGATGGAGGATCCATTTGTTTGTTTGTTTGCCCTTCAAGAACCTCTCAAAAGTCTTTGCTAACACCAAAGTTCAAAGGCATCTATATCTTTCATATCTCGCATATTTGTGGTCCAAGTTTCACATCCAGCCTGGACAGTTCTGATCTTTGTCTATCGAAGACACGTCTGTTACATTTGAAGATCTTTTAAAGGTCCTTCATCCTTGTTCGTACCACCCTGCTCAGTGCTTGATTCCTATTGGTAATTGCCACTTTGCTTTGCTCCTTATTTGCATAAAGTTAAACTTGGCTCAACTTTGTCACGTCACTGAGTCTGCCCACTTTGCATCACCGACTCTGCCCACTTTGCGTCACCAGTTTTGGGAATTGTTGTATTTCCTAGTTTTCTGTTCTTTTTCCTTTGTTTTTATTTCTCTGTTATTCTGTTTATTTCTCTCATTTCTTATCTCATTGGTAAGCACGTTAATGTTGAAAAGGTATTTGAACGGTTACAGCAAATTGTCTTTTACGACACGTCCTAAGGACAGGAACAGAACACTCGCTTTACGACAACAACTCTGGTCATTTTACGACAGTAAGGTTTTTAAGACAGGGTTCATATCTCCTACTCTATTCTGTGTGACTCTCTTGGGTGGAGAGGTTTTGAGGATAAAGCACTGCATCCAAAAACTGGTCTTCAGACTGGGGTGAGACTGGGTGAAGATGGCTTTGAATAAATCATATTTTCTGTGAACCCTGGTCTCCTGACTCTCTGTCTGTGGTAAGATCATTTGCCTCACCAACGTTGGAGCCTCTTGTTGCTGGAAATTTCCAGCTCTCTTTGAAAATGAATGAGCTCTTGCTGCTTTGTCACGTCGTGTTGCTGCTGCTGTTAATGCAGGGTAAGAGGTAGCCTCTCTCTGCAGCACTTCCCCAGAGAAGCTTTCAATGGACGGATTAATAAGCATTTTTCTCAGTAACAAAAGCTTAAAAGGCTGCCAAATGTTGTGAATGTCCTCTATGTAAGATACCCTCGCAACTACCTGAAATAGCATGGAAACCACACAGCAACACCCTAGCAACCACCTGGAATACCATATCAGCAGCTTAGCTTCATGTTGAAGAGTCCTGTTCACCTGATACCATAAACAAACAGCTTTTAAACACAATAAAAGCACTTTTAGAAATGTTGAGTTGCTCACCTGTATTAATATTAGTATTCTCCATATCGAGTCGTGCTTTCAAATCCTGTTAGACTTGCAGTGGAGATGTTCTTGGGTGTTGTATCTCTTCTGGATCCTCCAATGGAACCGAATCGAGTTTATAAATCTCGTGTCTAATGATCCTCTAATGTAGAAACCATGAGTTACACATTACACAACAGCTGTTTTTTCACTGGACACGTTTACATGCAGCCTGATAATCTGTTAATAATCAGACTAACAGCTCAATCGGAATAGAATACATACATGTAAACACCTCAGTCGGAATAGTCTAGTCTGATTGAGGCCATTCAGAATACAGTTTCTATCCGTTTGATCGAGGTGGGTAATCCTGTAAATAATCCATTAAATAGAAGAATAATATCCGTGTAAACGCCTGTATCTGATTACATTCCCTATCGGAAAGTTTAAGTCCGGTCTGATCATGTTTGTCACGTCATAGTGAAAGTTTATACCGTTCAACATGGCGGAGCAGAAACTGGTCTGCAGAGGAGACGAAGTTTATGCTCTGATCTCTGATCTTTAAACGTCCGGCTTATGTGTCTCAGAACGCGACGTCTTCCTCTCGGCCTTCTTTAATAAGGACATGTGAAGGACGTTTTCCTGAGTCTGACATCATTTTAAAGTCATTAAAAACACAAGCACTGCTCACTGCTGCTCATCTCACTCTGACTGGACTCACGTGATGCTGGTTGTCATGGTAACATCTACACTAAAGATACATTTACACAGCAGGTAAAAGTGGGCCAAATCTGATTTTCCTCACCAAATCCGATTTCTTTGTTTGGCTTTTCACATTATCTTTTAAATGTGATCTGTATGTGACATCAGTCTGAACAGATCAGCTCCTAAACTGACCCGCATGCGCAAAAGAACAGTGCTTCACGCGGCGGCTCGTCCAGAGGTAAACAGTCATGACGGCCAGCGAGCGCCAGTCTCTCCCGGAGCTTCAGTTTCGTCTTCACCAGCATCACAGGAACCATTATAAAGTTCCAGTGGTTGACAGCTGGACTCATCACCCACAGTGTGTTTGAGTTCGCTTTAAAAAGGGCGCGTTATTCGGCCACTTCTTTGGTTTGTGTCCTCAGATTCTTTAAACTGTTCGGACATTTCTTTGGAAATCTCTTCAAACACGGAGGGGTTTGATGAGTCTCTTCTAATTTTTTAGTACAGAAACATCAGACTAAATGTTTATGAGTCTCAGCAGCGCCAAATTATGACGAATGTCGAGCTGGATTGACGTAAAAGTCGCATGAATTCCGATCTGGCTGTTCAAACAGAGTCGCATTGCTGCAGATCGGATACATATCGGATTTCAGTACCACATATGAAAGCGTCTCAAATCAGAATTGAAAATGACAGATTCAGTGTGTTTATCTGTTCACACTGACACACAGACACACATCTGTGTCACAGATGAGGAAAAAGATCGGATTTGGGCCACTTTTACCTGCTGTGTAAACGTAGCCTAAGTGGTTCTCTACGCATGCACATCATTTTGGATCTGATTACTTGTAGTGAGCATGTAAACAGAGATTTCCCATCAGATTGTTGAGTAGAGTGAGAATAAACACCTCAGTCTTAATCTGTAATCAGAATGGATTCAATCAGATTGGCAACAATCTTTGCATGTAAACACAGCATTTTAATCACTATTTATCTATATTTTCATTACCATATAAATCGTAGCTCCAGAGCTAAAACTAAAGACGCAAACTTCAGACACCAAACACGTAAATTCTTTTTCCTCTTTTTTTGGTGAAGTGTTCCTTTAATCGTGCAGTTTGAGTGAGCGTTTAATATTTTGCGCAGTCATCAGTAGCCGTCAGACATGCCTTGCGTGTCGCCTGTTTATTTTAGAAGGTTCCTGCCGTGAGCTCAGGTGTGTAGGCGTGAGTGCTGCGCCGCTGCGGGGCAGGTTGTGTCAGGAGAGGTTTTGTAAATAAGCGTAATTAAAGCAGAAGGAAACGAACCCTTTTCCAGCCCAGCGGCACAAACACTCAGCCATTCTGAGATCAGTCATTTAAGGTGAGCTGACTCTTACAGGTGAGGTGAGATACGGAAATTAAAAACCTTCCCCCAGATCTGTTTCAGTAACTCAGAGATATGATTGATATAAAAACGGCTCTTTTTGGACAGAGTTGTGGTGATGATGATGTGTTTATTTGTTCCAAGAGATGAGTCAGATATTCTGAAGATGACATGTAGTGAGAACTCTATCAGCAGGGCTGTGCTTTTTGAAAAGGTGAGGTGGGAAACCGCTGAAACACTGGAATAAGTCGAGCTCCGGTGTGGGGACGAATCTAATTCTATTCTCTTAACAGTTTCAGTTAAACTGTGCTTCTCTGAATGATTCGATTGTCAGTTCAATGCAAATAAGCAGCAGAAACTCAGGCTGAATCTCAAATGGCTCCCTAATGCCTGTGTACTGCACTGTATACACCATGAAGTAATGGATTTTACACCCAAACAGGGTGTTATGTTCAGCCTGTATATTCGGCCGTTAGCTGCATGGTGCTGTATCCAATATTTAGTTCCCTGTTTGGTCTAAAAGCCTCTGTTTCATGACTGACGCAGTGCACTATGTAGGGAGTAGGGAGCAATTTGAGATTCAGCCTTAGTCTTATTAGAAATGTTAGAGCACTGGGGGCAGAACTACCCAGAACTACCCAGAATTCATTGTGGTTTAGATTTCTTTTAATTACTTCTTAAGTTTTGTATTTTTTTTATTAGTTATGTTCATGATAATAACAATCATAATCCCACAATTTTGATACTTATGTGTATATGGTGGATCATTCTCAGCACTGCAGTAACACTGACGTGGTGGTGGTGTATTAGTGTGTGTTGCGCTGGTCTGAGTGGATCAGACACAGCAGTGCTGCTGGAGTTTTTAAACACCTCAGTGTCACTGCTGGACTGAGAATAGTCCACCAACCAAATCCAGCCAACAGCGTCCTGTGGGCAGCGTCCTGTGACCACTGATGAAGGACTAGAGGATGACCAACACAAACTGTGCAGCAGCAGATGAGCTATCGTCTCTGACTTTACATCTACAAGGTGGACCGACAAGGTAGGAGTGTCTAATAGAGTGGACAGTGAGTGGACACAGTGTTTAAACACTCCAGCAGCACGAGAATGATCCACCCCCCAAATAGTACCTGCTCTGTGAGGGTCCATGGGGGTCCTGACCACTGACGAACAGGGTAAAAGGGGGCTAACAAAGTATCAGAGAAACAGATGGACTACAGCCTGTAACTGTAGAACTACAAAGTGCACCTATATAGTAAGTGGAGCTGATAAAATGGACAATGAGCGTAGAAACAAGGAGGTGGTCATAATGTTATGCCTGAACTGTGTGTGTGTTATACACACACCACTGATTTCACAGTCAAAACAGGAGCTACAGTGTCAGCATCAGTTGTCACTGACCAAGCAGTATTGTATCAGTGTGTAATGATATGATGTTTCAGTTGATGATGATGATGATGATAATAATAATAATAGGTGTCTTTTTATGATAGTAGTAGTATTTAACGCCTTGAATTCCCAGGTTTACTATGTTATGAGGCATATTATTCAGTAACTACATAGATGGCATTTAAAAGTTAATGATCTATTAATAATTGACTAATCTTAATTATTAATAGCAGTTGTTTTTAGGTATCATGCTGTTGAATAGAAGCCTGGACCTGTCTGTGGCTCCTGCACATTTAAAACTCAACTGTATGGTAGAGAGTCACAGATAGATATGTAAGTAAAACATACACAGATGTACAGAGAAAAAGAATGACAGGAAAAATCCTACACAGAATAAAAAAATGATGCCAATACGCAAATGTAAATAAAGCACCGCAGATGACTCTGTAGCAAGAACATTACAATGTAGTACAAACGGCTACTGTGCCTCATGAGTGGAGCACCTGAATGTGTTGCATGCAACTTTGATTGCTTATGAATTGCTTTGTGTAACTGTCAGGGTAATTATGTTGAAAGCAGCTCACAGCATGCGTTGAGGTTTCATGTAAAGCCAGCCTAAGGGGAAAGAATAAAGAATAAAGGGCTCTGATGTTGAAAGTGATGCTTTTTAAATTTTTTTTGAATATTTTATTTTTTCCAGATATCCCGTTTTTCCTTTTAGTATATACAAGATATTGCAACACCCCCTATACTCACTCAGTTATAAGCCCAATACACACCACCCCCCATAAAAAAAAGCTGTTGGCGTTATAAGAAAAGGATTGCCGTAAGAATATGTTGTGAGGTACATGGTGAGAGAAGCAACTGACAAGATGAAATAAATAGTAGGACAATGGTGTAATGATGACACAGTATGGTGAACTAATTATAAGTGATTAGATAGGCTGTCTATCAGGAACAGTCAGTGAAAGTGATCATGATGTGTTGTGTTGATATGTTTGTAGGTGGTGAACGAAGAGGAATGTGAACCGACTCCTGCACGTAAAGGTCCAGCAGGTCAGGAACGGGCAGGAAACCCCTGCAGTCCAGATGTTATAGTGGAGGCCCAGTGTGACGAGGAGGACGGGGAGCTGGTCCGTAAACTGGAGTCCGTCAGTCTGCAAAGCAAAGGTACCAGGACTTTTTGACTACGTTCACATTACCAGGCTGAAGTGGCACAATTCAGATTTTTTGCCCTAATGTGACTCAGATCTGATCTTTTCAAATCCGACCTGAGCCACTTTCATATGTGGTCCTAGATCGGATACGTATCCGATTTGTGTCCATGTGACCTTAAAGTGACGCTCAGATCGGAAATCATGTGCTTTGTTTCCACTGTGCGTGTGCCGTCATTCAGCGTTACCATGGCAGCAGCAGCGAACAGTTAAAGTTAAAGCCTGTAAATGGTGGAAAAGCAGCTCATCTCACCTTTTTCTCCTTCGTCTCGCTCTAATAATGAAGCTGAGAGCTGATCAGAGTTAATTATCTTCTCAGCGAAGCTCGTTCTGCTCGTTAATTTGTGCTGATGATGAACGTGATTCATTCACGTGACGTTACTGAGTAGGATGAGCTCATGAGGGTCATTTCAGGACACCGGTTCACATTAATGACAGATTTGAATCACTTACCTAAACGAGTGTGAACCATGGTGTCAGAGAGATCAGATTTGAGCAAAAAATTGGATTTGTGCAACGAGGCTTGTAATGTGAGCGTAGCATTTCTTCAGGAGCTCATGAGCCAAAAGCTGTGCTGATAGATTACGTTTGAGGTGGAGCAGTTAGTACCCTGCTCCCCCTAGTGGCCACTTTATAGCATTAAAATAACAACCTCTGGAAAGAACAAAATGTGACAACGTCTTAATTTTTTAAGATGGTAGAATGATGTGACGCACAAATTATGTTCTGTATTTTTCTTCATTATAGTTATTATAGAAGATATTGATGCTCGTTTTGGTAAGTTACCGCAAATTAAGCATTTTTCAGGTTGTTGAAATATTACGCTCAAACGTGCTCATACATGCACACCACACGTGAGTGATCAAACAGAAATACCAAAGATGAAACTGATGAGCAAAATTTTATGATCAGATTTGACGGTACACAGCGTTGATCGAAAAGGCCAGGGCGTTTTTGTTGTGTAGTTTTTTTTTATTTACACTTTTATAGCTTTCAACGTTTATTCTGGAACAGGAGATGTGGTCATTCGAAGAAGTAAGTGCACCCTGTCTTCAACATATTTGGAGATACAGATATAAAATCTTCATTTAAACAATGTTAATAAATAAAGCTGACATTTGTTTTTTGTTCTATTACATAATGTTTACACATTCTGTTTTGGACTTTTTCACGTGACTGTACATCACTTATATAATCCAGTGTAGGCTCTGTTTTTTTGGTAACACGCCCTTCCGCAGCTTTAGTAAAACGGCAACAAGATTCAATCTGATAAAATACTCCCGTGTTCTATAAATTAATTAATTTATTGTTAATAATCAGTGTAATAAATAGCTTTCACGGCAAGAAGTGTCATTCATTAACAGTAGGCTGTAGTTGCCAACTATGACAGCGGTCAGAGATTACGCTGTGTACTGTGCAGTTGCTTTTAAAGGGCACATATCATGGAAAACTGAATTCTCAGTTCTTCCAAATAAAGAGGTTGATGTACACGCTAGTACATAGTGTGTACATCAGAGTTTCAAAACATACCATTAAAATTAAAGTTTAATTACATTATAGTCTCAAAGGTACCACCCTCCAGTCAATCCAGTCCATATATGGAAACTGCGCTGCCAAAATGTCTCGCATGCAATGAAACTAACACGTGCGTTTATCTGCCTGTTGAGTAGGGCCGTCCCGAATATTGTTTTTTGGGCTCTGGAGCTCCAGCAGTAATCAGCAGGCTCCTCAAGTCTCCAGGCTAGCTGCTTTCCTCGCAGAACGCTGCAGTGCTCACAGTGCGGCTTTACTCCATCTACCAGGCCTGCTCGCCTCTCTTAGCGGCAGGCTGGGGGGTAACAGCACAGTGCCTGCTCAGGTTAACCAGCCCTTCACTGAGGTGGTCTAACTGGAGGTACAAAGGTCAAACATCGCGGCCCTAGTGAGGGTCCAGTACAGCGGTGCGCTGTTTGCAGCCATATTGGGAATACACGTGCCAGATTTCAGGTGCCCAAATTAAAAATAAAAGTTGCGTTATGGACTGCGATGTCGAGTCGTCCAGGTTTCTCCGCTACAGTGTTTTGCAGTTCGCCTTTGTTAGCTCACATTTAGCCAAAATAACGAATATCTGAATCCCGAAATTAAAAAAACGAATACCTACCCAACCAACGAATATGTGAATAGTCGAACATTCTAGTCCAGACCCAGAATTCAGCCAACAGCAGTTTAGCCCCGCCCACTCAAACTGAAGTTATAAACAGTGTTTCAGTCTAAACTGCTTTCTGAATAAGGGCAACCAACTCACATCAGTCTTCAAGGCACAGTAACAAAAACGGCCTGTTTATTGAGAGTCTGGAAAATGGTCAGGTCAGAATGAAATATGGCTGTTTTTGGTTTATAAAGCCACACAGGTTTTATAAATAGACCTCAGTGGAAAAAAATATGATGCAAGAAAATTGTATGACAAAAGCCCTTTAATAACTTGGGGCATTAATACAGAATTGTTGTATGTGGTCATTGATGGCCAATCAGTTTTCAACATCAGTTTTATGAAACACCGTAAATCTCGTTATGAGCCCAGCGCTGACTCATCCGTCCAAAGGTTCCAGAAACGTCCTTGCAGTCAGATAAACGGCTCCAGCATGCCAAAGGTCAGGGATATCAGTGATGAGGGTCGGTTTCTGACTGCGGTCTGGCGCGGGTTTCGGTGTTTACGCTGGGTTTACTCGGCTGATGTCAGCGTGCTGAGCCACTCGCTGATGACTAAACAGCCGGAGGTTGAGGGAGGATGTAGAAATGTGTCTATTTTTCTGTTATCTGCTGTGAGACCCAGAAATATTTGTTCATACCTGCCTTCCAAAAATATCCACAGATTAAATCATTAAACACTTTAAAGCACAACAGTGAAGGAGATTCCACAGAGTCTGCTCCGATCAGGCGTGTGGAAACTGAAGGAAGCGCTGAAAGACCCGATTGTGTTGATGGAATGAATGAGCCATTCTCTTGGTACGCCTTAATGAATCGTTGTAGCAGCCTCGAATGACCCCTTTCTTTCGCTCCACTTTAGGTTTCATTTACAATTCAAATTAAAGAGCACAGAAGGTGTCCATTTCTTGCATCTTGATTGTTCTACAACAGGGGTGCTCGATCCTGGTCCTGAAGATCTACCGCCCTGGAGAGTTTAGTTCTAACACAAATGCCTCTATTCACATGCCTGTGAAGGCCTTCATGACCTGGATCAGGTATTTTAGATTAGGGCTGGCGCTAAACTCTGCGGGGCAGGAGATCTCCAGGACCAGGACTGGGAACCCCATTTCTGACAATCAGCATTTACATGGCTAAAAGATAGAATTAGCCTAAAATGTCCCAGTCAAACTCCTGCTGTGGTGAAAAGTCTCCTGTGGTCCAGTCAAACTCAGATACTGTGGTGAAAAGTCTCCTATGGCCCAGTCAAACTCAGATACTGTGGTGAAAAGTCTCCTGTGGCCCAGTCAAACTCTGCTACTGTGATCAAAAGTCTCCCATGGCCCAGTTTGACTCAGCAACTGTGGTGAAAAGTCTTCTGTGGCCCAGTCAAACTCCGCTGCTGTGATCAGAAGTCTCCCGTGGCCCAGTCAAACTTCGCTACTGTGATCAAAAGTCTCCCGTGGCCCAGTCAAACTCCGCTACTGTGATCAAAAGTCTCCCGTGGCCCAGTCAAACTCAGATACTGTGGTGAAAAATCTCCTGTGGTCCAGTCAAACTCAGATACTGTGGTGAAAAATCTCCTGTGGTCCAGTCAAACTCAGATACTGTGATCAAAAGTCTCCCGTGGCCCAGTCAAACTCTACTACCGTGGTAAAAAGTAAAAATCACAAACAAATAAAGAACAATAATCTGATATTAGGTGGCAGCAAAAATGGCATAACGTGTTAATAATATTTTAGACTGTAACTTAGCTGTTTTTAATAAGAGTGACAGATGGGACCTGACAGTCAAATCAATCAGCAAAGCGCTATTTGCCCTAAAGTACCAAGGCGAACCCAGTCCAACTCGCCCTCTGAGATGCTGTGTGAATCCTGGAGCTACTTGGTCACTCTCCTCATTTCACATTCAGCTTTTCTCTATCTCTGTCCCCCATTTGTTTCAGCTCCTGCCACTCCGAAAAATGGGAAACACTCGAATGTATGCAGTACGCCTGGCTCTACAGCAGAAAAGACTGTTCAGAGGACTGGAAAGGTAAATTATTTGTTTGAAAAGGCTTGTTGTGTGTTTATTTTACTTCGAGGTAGTCCTGCTCCTTTAATTCAACGTTGAAGTCAGTCATGTATATGGAGCTGAAGGGCTTAAGCCAAGAACATCTCGTCCTGTTTAATTTGCCCATTATGAAAGGCGTTGGGGCTCTGTCTGTGTTTGTGTGGAGTAGGTATATTATGTGCCAACATAATTCATTAAAAAGGCTAAATGTTTTGTTCTGATTCAGTGACTCAGAGTTAGTCACTGGTTTGTAGTTTGGAGTTATCTTGATCTATACTTGAACATGGAATATGATCTTACATTGCTGTATCCTCATGAATGTGAGCAATAGTGGACAAAATTGTATAATACTCACTCACATGTCATTTAGAGTCTTGCCTGTTTTCATTTCAGGTGGTTTACATTGTTGAGGAAAAGCACTCGAGAGCAGCTTCAGGATTTATAAAGTTCCTCCCAGACAAGCACTTTGCCATGTTCTCTCCTGTTGATCATCGAGTTCCCAGAGTGAATGTTCCGCTGACAGATTGCCCCCCAGAGTTTCCCTCTCGGCCTGGGGATTACACCAACACGCTCTTCATCTGCAGGATAACGCACTGGCCTTACGACAACACCTTCGCAGAAGGGTATGTACCCGAATCAGAGTCTGAATATGTAAACAGTACAGATGACACAATCCCACTTTTTCATTTCTTATACTGATATTGAAACCTTGACACGTACACACTTCTATAACCTCCGTTAGTTTGCATTGAAGTCCATGTAGTTAATGAATAATACACCCTAGCATGCAATAAGCCTGGCATGTTAAAGGGGTCAAGTATCGGCTGATACCGATATTGAGGTTGCACTTCATTTTACGGTACGGTAAATAGCCAGTACTTAATAGGTAAATACGTGGTATTTTCTGGTACATACTTTACGTATACATAGTACAGGGAGATTCACTCGAAACAGGCCCCGAATATTCTGTTGCAACTCACGTTAGGATGAAGCAATCTGAACCAAAAAAATACACTACATACGTTGACGTAAGTGTGATCAATTGCATTACATGCGATGCTGGAAGTGATCTCCGTTTTCTGCCAGACGCATTTCGACGCGGCGCTCAAGCATTACAGAGGGTAAACATCGCGACGGCTGTCCGGCGCCTACCTCATCGCTCCGGCACAGGGGCATCCCGGCTTGTTCAAAGCTCCATATACTGAGGAGCTCATTGCACCTTGTTTCGTTCAGATTGCTTCATCCTAGAGAGAGTTATTACAGAATATTCGGGGCCTCTTTCGAGTGAATCTCCCTGTACATACCATGTATACAGCAGCACTTCTGCAGAATTTAATGTCACAGAGCAATCATGTACTTACAAGTAATACTGTGTGTGTACTTTGTAAGTGTAATATAGAGATAATACTAAGGTGAGAAAAATCGGGTATATTTCACCAGTTAATGCTAAGAAGTTACATAATAGTGGACAGTACTACAGACTGCTTTATGAAGTACTTGTCTATGCGATAAAGAAGAGTAGGTCACAGGAACAGGTGACAAAGGTGTAGAAATGACAGGGTACCTACCACTGAGTACACAGGAACTACCTTTTTTTCCAGTACAGTAATTCTTTTCATAATAATTGGTATTTTGATGTTTGGTTATGCTCTGCATACCTTAAAGACAGGTAGTTACTACAGTGTTATTACTTTGTACCAAGTTACACCATCATATTACAGAGTACTTTATGGTATGTACCTACTAGTATGTCTGGTTCATTTCTGCATATGATGATGATAAGAGAAGAGGTAGTTACTGTGTAAATATGATGTACAGATTTTACCACAGTATTACAGACGACTTACTGCTAAACGTACCAATTAATATTTAATATTTACTGGACTGGACAAAAGGTACTTACTCAGTTTTTCTGTGCTTCTCTATAGGTATGCATGCATGTACTGTGTATATGCAATGTATGTACTAGAAAAATTGTAAATACTTCATATTTATCAATTAAATACAAGTTACTTATCTTACCATAAGAGAGACTGGTACCAGTGTCTGCTGGTCCAATATTTAAAGAGTTCATTTGCTAAAAGACAATAAAATCCATCCTTTAAAAAACGAGCTGACTGTGGTTAGTTATTCTAACACAGAGTGTTCCGAGCCCTAAATATGTTTCGTCACTACAAAGTCGGCAATGAAGGTTGAATGAAGTTACATGTATTTTTTATTTTTTTTTAACTTAATCAAAACAACCCAACTGCAGTTTGATTGACATTACATGGAATGCACAATAAAAAAAATTATGAAAATGAATTCAAATTGAGATTTTTTTGCAAATGAACTAATTTCTTCATTAAAATCTACAGATGTTTAAATTGGGTTTTCTAATTAAACAATTATAGGCTTTTGGGCTGAAACTACTTAATCACTCTTATGAACCCCACAGGAAGAACTGCACAGCTAACAACACACTAACAGAGCTATTTTAGGATAGATTTGTTACCAAATTGGATCACATACTTTCTTTCATTACTTCTCATAACTCACCTGGTGTTTTCTGATGATATCGGCCATATCTGGTGTTGAATCGGTGGCATCTCTGATAAGCAGCTTCGTCTGAAATTTGGAAAATGTGCTTTTGTTCTGTTTGTTTTGTCTTTATAAAAAATTGTCTTTATAAAGTTGGTAGTTGTTTTAAACAAGCATTATTATTTCAGACCATTTTCTGATAAACTGAACCCCCCAAACCTCCCCCTCTGAATACAGGCGACTGGCTAAATCGTTAGGCCAAGCAGGTGAAATTGAGCCGGAGACGGAGGGTATCCTGATTGAGTATGATGTAGATTTCTCAGAGTTTTCAGAGGAAGCTTTGGCCTGCCTCCCTCAAAACCTTCCATGGACCATCCCAGCTGAGGAGCTCGCCAAAAGAAGAGACCTGAGGTGAGTTCAGGCTCTAAAGGAATGATAAAGCTGTGTCTTCGTATTGGAGTTCCTCAGGGTTCTGTATTAGGACCGTTGTCTTTTCCTCTTAACTGATTTTTGTTACCACCTTTGGCGTTTTGTAGGGTTTTTGAGGTTCTCTTTCATATGTAGCACAGCGTGAAAGGTGATTTATACTTCTGTAAACTTGTGCCGCGTGCAGATGTTTGCAAAGGTGTCTGCTGACATGTTTGCACATATTGTGAATGTGAGCACTTGGAGGCAGGATCTAAACCAGACTCAACAGGAATAAAAGAGGGAAGTCTTACATTTTCCTCTCTTTGGCCCAGTCCCATTTCACCACTTGCCCTATCACTCGACCATTCTAGGGGTAGGGTGTCCTGATTCTTGTTGCGATAGAGGGGTGGGACGAAATGTTTGGGCTACATGACCCTCCAAACTGAGGATTTTCAGAGACTCCAAACAGAGTGATATGAGGAAAAAAGAAAAACCGGTGAGATGGCTGAACAAACGACCAAAGAAACCCACAAATGTGAAAATTTCTTGGCTAAAAATTATGATAACCATCATATTATCTTAGTTTAATGTTGTTTCAGTGTATTATGGTCCTTTTCTTCATAACAAGCATAAAAATCACAAATAGTATGCTGATGTCTCGGTAGGTAGCTAGCTAACTTTCCTGTTCCACCTTAAATGGTGCAGCAGCTACATTCTGGTGCCTCAGGCCTTTGAACTGCTGCTCCATTTAAGGTGGAACGGGAAAATTCAAACAAGAATCTGGTGAATATCTGACTTCAGCTTCATATCACTGAAGAATTAGTGGTGGATGATAATAAATAATTGCCCCCCTCTTTGATCATATGATGCCCTAAATGTAACTAAAGCCCAGCAGTGAGGAGCTGAACTTTACCCTCCTCTGCTGTCACTGCAGACTGGCAGGGTCACCTACAGAGCAGCGCTGGTAGCTGTTAATGACGTGATGATCTTTTTATTTGAGGGTCTCATTTCAGAAAAAATGTTTCAACCAATTCCTCCTAATAACTCAGTTCTAAGGGGCAAGGAAACACTCGAAAACAAGGGGTAGGGGTAAAAATAAGAAATGGGACTGGGCCTTTCTCTCCAAGAGTGAGCGCTCACTCTGCTAACATTTTGACAATGAGTAGTTATGCAAGTTCTGATTTTGCTCTAGTTCCGGTTTGGTTTAAGTGTTGTTTGGGTCTTGTTAACAGAGAGCGTTTGCTTGACGCACAGCTCTGAGGATTTGTACAAAAGGTGTGCGTGTCGTTATCCCTACAAGCTGTGCTTACCCATAAACCAGTGCTGTACAACATACTAAAAATGTAATAGGACAAAATTCAATAGAAGGAAATACAAGTACTTAATACATTTGTTGGCGTTTTTATCTACGTTGTAGAAAGGAATGTATATTCACGATCGACCCAGCCACGGCCAGAGATCTGGATGATGCTCTGTCCTGCAAGCAGCTTCCAGACGGTTAGTGTGCAGCTTTTCTCACCTTTCAGTAAAGCTGTGTTTAACAGGTTATTCACTGCTGCTGTAAGTTTATTCATGTCAGTTTGATGATGCACTGTGTCTTTTTTCTTCTTTCGTTTAGGAAATTTTGAAGTTGGCGTTCATATTGCTGATGTGAGCTATTTTGTGGAGGGTGGCACTGCTTTGGATTTTGTTGCCAGCAGAAGAGCTACAAGCGTGTATCTGGTTCAGAAGGTATTTAAATCTGTTGGCTTTTTGGTGATTGTTAGTGTTTTCCCTTGTGGAGTGTTTTAAAAATCACTGCATACAGTTTAGTGGTGGACACTCTTGCCCCAGAGGCCCGAGACTTGACTCGACTCAGACTCACACCTGATGCCTGAGGCTCGACTCGGACTCGCGCCTTAGGGACTTGAATCAGACTCTCACCAGATACACAAAGTTGGACACCTCAGAGACTTGAGACGCCATTCAGACCGCATCTCAGAGACTTGAGACTTGACTTAGACTCGCACCCTAGAGTTTAGAGACTTAAGAGTCAACTTAGACCCGCACCTCAAAGACTCTGTACTCAACTCTGAACAGCACCTCAGAGACTCAATACTCAAGTCCGACTCAAACATCAGAGACGCAAATCAGACTCGCACCTCAGAGACTTGTGACTGAAACTGGACTCACACCTTAGAGACTTAAGCCTCAGCTCAGACTCACACCTCGACTCAGACTTGGACCTCAGAGACTTGACTTGGACATACACTTTAGAGACTTGACTCTGGCTTCCCCCTCAGGGACTCGAGACTCGACTCAGGTTCAAATAATAGAGTCAGCAAAAGAGTTCCAATCTACAATCTACAGTTTGGGTCCAGAAGTTGCAGTCTCCCAAAATAATAGTGAATTTTAGTAACAAAGTACAATTAGAGGTTTTCCTCCGCTCTGTTGAAGCAATCACTGCCTCCCTTATGATCTCCGTACAGGAGTACAGGAGGAGGCTGAGCTTTCAGATGTTCCTAATGAATGAAACCTCTGGTTTTGCTTCGGGCCTGAATGCTTTCCTCCTGACAGGGTGGCACTTTGTTGGAAAAACTTCCATTAGTGAAACGAGCTGAAAGATGATCATTGATCTGAAACTTGTTATTGGCAAGAAGATAATGATGATGGAACCCACAGCAAAGCTTGTTTAGATGGAGAAGCATCAGCGCAGTTCCAAGTCATTTCTCAAAATAAATGCTGTCTCACTGAAGGTTTTGCCACACCACGTAATACATTGTTCTCTCGTCTTTCTTTAATTATTTTAATATTTGTAGCAGAGGTTTTTGTCTTGGCTTGTTCTTGGCCCCCATCTGGATCCCACGTCTCCAGCATGGGGCACGTAAACACATTCCGGGCCTGTTTTGCAATCTCATTCTATTATTGCTGTCTCATCTGTGTGCGCTTTATAAATCTCCCCACCGCTTGCTCTATACATAGCAACTACATGTCAATTCATTGAACATCATGAGCTCACTTTTATATACAAAATAAGATTACTCAGTTCATTGACTAACACTGTAATAACTCTTCGGCTGATGTTCGGTTTTGAGTCTAATAATAGTTCTTTTGTGGGGAGGAAACAATAACTAAATTACAAATCACTAAAACAATACCAGAGATTTTACTCGCTGTGTCTGTAGCAAAGCAAACAAACCGTCAGCTTTTTCTTTTTTTATATTGACATTTTTCTTTAATGACATTTACTTTAAACGAGGAGCTCCACCAAACGCCTACGGTCAAACATCCTGTACGAGTTTCCATTCAGGCTTGATAAGCTGTTGCACAATCCAAGGGCACTTGCAAAAAATTACCAATTTGCTCATTATGAGCTGCTCTTAGGTAAGCTAGTGAAGTACTGGATGTCTTCTGTTATCCATATTATTATTTTTAATCATATTCCTATATTTTGCTGTTCCTAAATGAACTAAATTGCTAGTGATGAACCCTAAACTACAGTGAAGAATGCCTGACGTCCTCTTTACCTGTTTTTTTTTAAAGTTCATTTTCTTTCTGAAATTCCTGATTTTTTTTTTTGTCCTAACTGCTTTCTGAAGTGCTCTGTTTTGTCCCTGTCCCTTTTCAAAATGCCTGATTTTTTTTTTTTCCGTACTGCTTTTTGAAGTGCCTGATTTTGTCCCTTTTGAAATGATTTTGTCCCCATGAACCTGTTTTTAATCCTTGCTGATTTTGTCCCTGCCCATTTTATAAAACGCCTGATTTTCTGATTTTTTTGTAAAGCCTTATTTTGTCCAGTTTTATTCCCGTCCTTTTAATGAAAACTCCTATTTTGTCCCTGTATCTTTTTGAAATGTCCTATTTTGTCCCCATCCCCTTCAGCAAGTTGTCCTATTTTGTCCCCATCCCTTTAACAACTTGTCCTTTTTTGTCACTGTCCCTTTTTCAAATGCCCATTTTTTTTTTCCTGTCTCTTTTATGAAATGTCCTACTTTGTCCCTGTCACCTTTTGAAATGCCTGATTTTGTCCAATTTTGTTCCCATCCCTTTTTGAAAACTCCAATTTTGTCCTTGTACCTTTGTCAAATGTCTGATTTTGTCCCCATCACTTTTTCAAAATGCCCAAATTTGTCACTGTCTCTTTTTTTAAAACAACCTGTGTGTGTCTAGCCCACCTACTCTGCACACCCTCAGTTATCCAACTAAACTTTCTAGCTAAAGCTGTTTTTAGTCTCATGCTGTTGTTAAAACATTTCATACACATAATATAGCAAGAATGTTTACTGCGAGGGGCCTGGAGACTCTTAAAAAATAACTTTTGCAATTAAAGTGAAACCACAAATTTTGGAAATTTGGACTTTAACTCTGTCAACATTTGGAAAGCTGGTCGCCTAGAAAGATTTGTGTATTTAAAGCATACGGCATATCAGTGCTGTCAGAACAAAACCTCTGAAAACAGTAACTTTGCAGAAGAAGCACAAAAACTGCCTAACTTTCAATATAACTTAATATAAAAAGATTGTATTTCAAACAATTTCGGACCATTTCTATTGGTCCATTCATCATGAAGAGTGTGTTGGGCAAAAACTAGAAACTGTGTTTGTTTTTCTTCGTCGACTTGCTTTGTATCTTTCATCTTTGCATTTTTTGCCTTTACTTTGAAGGTTGCGGTCGTGCCGCAACTTGCTTTTGACTGAAAATGTCAGGGTTAAGTCTGTTCTGTCTGTGTTTGTGGGTGCTTGTGCTGCAGGTAATCCCGATGCTGCCGCGTCTCCTGTGCGAGGAACTGTGCAGTTTGAATCCTCAGACCGATCGGCTAACGTTCTCCGTAATTTGGAAACTTTCTCCAGAGGGGAAGGTACTTCAAACGCACCTGTATTATGCGTAATCTTTATCTGCATTTATGTGCAGTTTATTTGCTTTGTCACTTGACGCCATCTTGTCTTTGAGGAAATGATTGGTTGTCTGCTGTTCCGTCAGCTGTTAATGTAAACATAGGGTTGCTGTTTACCTGGGGAAGCAATTAGTCATCAGTTAGCAATGTATAATTTGCATAATGCTAACTTGTGGCTTTTTGTTTTCATAAATTGTTAGCATTTTTTAACTGAGCTATTCATATAGCTGAAAAATATGGTAGGCATGAGTACACCAATGAACAAACACAAATGTTTGGTTGGTGTGCGAAACCTGTGTTTGATTGTTTAAAGACTCTAAGATGTTGTTTCCGCGATTCATTACAGTTACAATTTTACTGCTACAAACTGTAGAATGACTCTGTTTTCCCCACTGAGTGTACTCTGTCTTTTAGGGTCTGCTAATGGAAATCAAAGTTGTGTTCATGGTGTGTATGTACGTTTCCTCAGATCCTGAGTGAATGGTTTGGCCGTTCGGTGATCCGCTCATGTGTAAAGCTCAGTTACGATCACGCTCAGAGCATGATCGAAGCCCCTGATAAACAATTTAGTGCGGAGGAACTTCCAGCCTGCTCCCCCGAACACCCACTCCAGCGCATCCACCAGGCCGTCCTGCACCTGCACAGCATCGCCAAACACTTGCGTGCCCAGCGCTTTGAGGGCGGAGCCCTCCGACTTGACCAGGTAACCACAAGAGCTTTAATTCTGTCTGGCATTTCGATCTGAATTCAAGTATATTGTGTGAACATTCTGCCTGTGTCTGACCGAACACACGGCACCACGTTTACAATATTTTGTCGACTGTAGCCCCACAAAATTCTGTCTGAACCGACTGTAGCCCACAAAATTCAGTCTGAACCGACTGTAGCCCACAAAATTCAGTCTGAACCGACTGTAGCCCACAAAATTCTGTCTGAACGACCGTAGCCCACAAATTTCGCTGAACCGACCGTAGCCCATAAAATTCTGTCTGAACCGACCGTAGCCCACAAAATTCTGTCTGAACCGACTGTAGCCCACAAAATTCTGTCTGAACCGACTGTAGCCCACAAAATTCTGTCTGAACTGACCGTAGCCCACAAATTTCGCTGAACCGACCGTAGCCCATAAAATTCTGTCTGAACCGACTGTAGCCCACAAAATTCTGTCTGAACCGACCGTAGCCCACAAAATTCTGTCTGAACCGACCGTAGCCCACAAAATTCTGTCTGAACCGACTGTAGCCCACAAAATTCTGTCTGAACCCGACCGTAGCCCACAAAATTCTGTCTGAACCGACTGTAGCCCACAAAATTCTGTCTGAACCCGACCGTAGCCCACAAAATTCTGTCTGAACCCGACTGTAGCCCACAAAATTCTGTCTGAACCGACTGTAGCCCACAAAATTCTGTCTGAACCGACTGTAGCCCACAAAATTCTGTCTGAACCGACCGTAGCCCACAACATTCACATTCTTAAAATAGTTTAAATTACTGAGTTCATCCATATCGTCAATATGGATCAACCCTCCGCAGCTCGGTCACTAATCACAGTGGGTTCTTCTGTTTTTTTGTTCAAATTGCTCCTGTTGTTTCTCGGCCCTCCAGATTCCGGTGATTAAACACTATTATCTGTTACCAGTCGAGCATTTTTACCTGGAAATAAGTTCCATCATCATATGAAAGCAGCGTTTTGTGGATGTGTATCTGCATGTGTTTTGTATTTTCAGCGCTTTGATGTGGCTGTGCGCGTGGGGGGCAACAATCAGTAATATATCTAAATAAGCAGCATCTTAATTAACGTCTTAGTGATGGATTATGTTCTGATTAGTTTTGTAATCCTGATGATCAGCCGTTATAGAACAGCTTAACATTGCTTTGTCATGTTTCCGCTGTGTTTTGAAGGTGTTTATAAATCTCTACAGGGGCTGAAAACTCAGTAAAAAGGCAAAACTTTGATCTTTTTTCCTGCTTACAAAAACCATTAATAAATCTCCATTATAAATACCGAGTGACGGATGCTTGGATAGTTGTTCTCTGTGATGATTGTGCAGCATGTTTAATGAAATGGTGGTAATTTATTGTTCTTTTTTGCAGATGAAGCTGGCGTTTAGCCTGGACGCGGACTCAGGCATGCCTCAGGGCTGTTATGTCTACCAGTACAGAGACAGCAACAAGTGAGTAAAGCCAAGCGATCCTGGACGAATCTGCCTGCGGTGTCTTGTGACTTCGGACTGGCGCCGCTGATCTTAGCTATACATCGTTCTCCATTTCTAGAGATAATAGATGGAGTTCTGTAGAAAACTCAGAGAGAACGTTTAAAACGAGCTTTTGGGACGTAAGGATCTGCACAAGTACTCGAGTACTCTGGTTATCTGTTCGAGGTGCCAGTACTCGAACGCTGAAATCTCTATTTGGGTGTTAGTCACGTTTAATCACAGGAAGATCGAGAACATATCCAGACCAACAACAGTGTTGAGTACATTGTTAGCTTTGAAGACAGTGTGTATTAGACACTGTATGTTAGTGTTGAGTACAGGATGTATTAGACAGTGTTAGTTTTGAGTACAGCATGTATTAGATATGGTGTGTTCCAGTGTTGAGTACAGTATGTATTAGATACAGTATGTTGGTTTTGAGTACAGTAGGTATTAGATATGCTGTGTTCCAGTGTTGAGTACAGTATGTATTAGATATGCTATGTTCCAGTTTAGAGTACAGTATGTATTAGATACAGTATGTTGGTGTTGAGTACAGTGTATATTACATACTGTGTAAGTGTTGAGCTCAGTATGTATTTGATACAGTATGTTAGTTTTGAGTACAGTATTTATTAGATATGGTGTGTTCCAGTGTTGAGTACAGTATGTATCTGATACAGTATGTTGGTTTTAAGTACAGTATATATTAGATACAGTTTGTTCCAGTTTGGAGTACAGTATGTATTTGATACAGTATGTTAGTTTTTGGTACAGTATGTTAGTTTTAAGTACAGTATGTACTAGATACTGTATGTTAGTTTTGGGTACAGTATGTTAGTGTTGAGTACAGTATGTATTAGACATGCTATGTTCCAGTGTTGAGTACAATATGCATTTGACACAGTATGTTAGCTTTGGGTACAGTATGTATTCGATGCAGTATGTTGTGTTGAGTGCAGCATGAATTAGATACAGTGTTAGTTTTGAGTGCAGTATGTTTTAGATATGGTATGTTTCAGTGTTGAGTACAGTATGTATTTGATACAGTATGTTAGTTTTGGGTACAGTATGTTAGTTTTGAGTACAGTATGTATTAGATACTGTATGTTAGTGTTGAGTACAGTATGTATTAGATACCGTATGTTCCAGTGTTGAGTACAGTATGTATTCGATGCAGTATGTTGTGTTGAGTACAGCATGTATTAGATACAGTGTTAGTTTTGAGTGCAGTATGTTTTAGATATGGTATGTTCCAGTGTTGAGTACAGTATGTATTCGATACAGTATGTTAGTTTTGGGTACAGTATGTTAGTTTTGAGTACAGTATGTATTAGATACTGTATGTTAGTGTTGAGTACAGTATGTATTAGATACTGTATGTTAGTGTTGAGTACAGTATGTATTCAATACAGTTTTTTACAGTTTTGAGTACAGTGTGTATTAGATAAAGTATTTCCGCTGAGTGACCGGTGCTGTACGTCTGCTTTCAGGCTGGTGGAGGAGTTCATGTTGCTGGCCAACATGGCGGTGGCCCACCAGATCTACCGTAAGTTCCCTAAACTGGCCCTGCTGAGGCGGCACCCCCCGCCTCAGAGCCGCATGGTGGAGGTGCTGCAGGAGCTGTGTGATCAGATGGGGCTGAACATCAACCTGGAATCAGCCGGAACTCTACACGTACGTCCACTACCACACCTCCAACACTTAGAGCTCCACTCACTTTACCCCTCCTCAGAGATGCTCCTCAGGCTCTGATGACCTTCTCCAGGCTCCGCCCACAAGTGTTCTTTCATTACTACTGTCCTAAGGATGGGGGAAGAAAGAACGTATTTGTGGGCGGAGCTTGGAGCAGGCAGTAAGGGCTGAATGTACGTTTGTATGTATGTAGTCCTGAAAAACCTCCTGATTAAATTTCTCTCTCAGATCCTGATTCAGGTCCTTTAATATAGGGCATTGTTCAAAACAGAGTCCAGTCTGATATTTATATTTTGTAGATAAAACAGCCACACAGTGCGCACTTTAGGTACAATAAAGTGAGTAAAACCAGTTCACTTTTTCACCAAAAGGGTGATCAGCATGGTGTTAGGGCTGTACACACTTGTGATGTTACTTTTATGGTACCAAAACAGTCTACAGGGTTTATCTGAAGAACCTGATTGCTGTCAGGTTGCTAAAGGAAAACAAGATGAGCAGAAGAATGTTCTGTTGAACCTGTTTAACTGCATTAAATGTCCATGTTACATTGACTCCACATCAGTTTAATGTACCTTTTAATGTACATTCTGTTTGTAATGCAGCTTCTCACACCGTTCACTGTTCGTGTGTTCTGTTTATTGTCAGTGTTGGTGTCTAATGTAGGGCTGGTATTTGTGCTGATGCCAGCACTAAGAACAGCTGAATAAAGATTGTGACTAAAGATGTTAATGTGATTGTGAACACAGAGGAGTCTGAATGAAACTGTGGGGAATGACCAGTACAGCTTGGCCAGGAAGGAGGTCCTCACTCACCTGTGCTCCAGACCAATGCAGGTATGTGCCCTTGTTCACCTGGTTAACTGTTTACCTGTACAGGTGCATGGTCTCATTGATCAGCTGAAACGCTCCAGTCAAGAGTTTCCTTCATTGCTTTTTAAACACGCTTATTTAGTATAGCCTTTAAATCGGATCAGCGCCATCCTAGTGTTGTTTTATTTGACCTTTCAGTGAAATCATGTGTATTACTGTTTTTCCCATCTCCTTTCTATTCTGTGTATTTTAAATTTAAATTGAGATTTCAACTAGAATTGTTCATTGTTTTTGTTATTTTTTCTTTGATTTTATCTTGTAAACTTAATTTTAAAACGTATTGATGTTGATGATGATGATGATGATGATGACAATAATAAGAGGAAGAAGAACTACAAGTCAGTTGTTGTTGTTGTTGTTGTTGTTGTTGTTATTATTATTATTATTATTATTATTATTAATATTAATATTAATAATTCAAGAGACCTTACAGGATTACTGCCATTTCATAGCTGCTGCCATCTACAGGCGTTCAATAGGTACTGCATCCACTTTGCCTGTACTATAGCAATGAGCTTATATAGATACAGTTATATAGACTGACATGGACAGACAGACGGATGGATAGATAGTTACTCAGATAGCTACATTCAGTGAGATGGATGAATGGACAGATAAACAAACGTCAACATAAGGGTTCAGAGTAGTGATGCACAGTTGTGAAAAATAAAATCAGGATTCAGAGATTTATTATAATATCAGTCCAGCTCTAGTGTGAGAGAGGAGGTTGTAGTGATGGTGATATGACGGTGATGATGATGGTGGTGATTATGGTAGTGGTGATGTTGGTGATGGTGGTTGTGATGGTAGTGGTGTTGGTGGTGGTAATGAGGGTTGTGATGGTGGTAATAATGATGGTAGTGATGGTGATGATGGTAGTGGTGATGGTAATGGTAGTGGTAGTGATAGTGATGATGGTAATGAGGGTAGTGATGGTGGTAATAATGGTAGTAGTGATAGTGATGGTAGTAGTGTTGGTGATGGTACAGATGATGGTGGTAATGGTAGTGATAGTGATGATGGTAGTGATGGTAGCAGTGGTGATGGTGGTAGTTGTGTTGGTGATAGTGATGGTAGTGATAGTGGTAATGATGGTGGTGATGGTTATGAGAGAACTGATGGTGGTAATGATGGTAGTGATAGTGATGATGGTAGCGGTGGTGATGGTAGTGGTGTTGGTGATATTAATGATGGTAGTGATGGTGGCAGTAATGATGGTAGTGATGGTGATAATGGTAGTGGTGATGGTGATAATGGTGGTGATTACAATGGTGATGTATTTGATAGTGGTGGTGATGGATGGTGATAAAATTGAATTGATGATAGTGGTGATGGTAGTAATGGTGGTATGATGGTAGTGGTGTTGATGTAAATGATGGTAGTGATGGTGGCAGTAATGATGGTAGTGATGGCGATGATGGTGGTGATTACAATGATGTTGGTGATGGATGGTGATAAAATTAAATTGATGATGGTGGTGATGGTAGTAATGATGGTAGTGATGGTAGCGATGGTGATAATGGTAGTTGTGTTGGTGATAGTGATGGTAGTGATGGTAGTAATGATGGTGATGGTTATGAGAGAAGTGATGGTGGTAATAATGATGGTGATGATGGTAGTGGTGTTGGTGATATTAATGATGGTAGTGATGGTGGCAGTAATGATAGTAGTAGTGATGGTGATGCTGGTAGTAGTGATGGTGATGGTGGTGATTACAATGGTGATGTTGGTGATAATGGTGGTGATGGATGGTGATAAAATTGAATGATGATGATGATAGTGGTGATGGTAGTAATGGTGGTAATGATGGTAGTGGTGTTGGTGATATTAATGATGGTAATGATGGTAGTGGTGATGGTGATGATGGTAGTGGTGATAATGCTGGTGATTGATGGTGATAGCGGTGATGGTAATGTGATGGTTGTGGTGATTGATGATGATAGTGGTGGTGATGTATGCATGTATGTTTGCAGATGGCGGTGTATTTCTGCACGGGGGTCCTGCAGGATGAGAAGCTGTTCAGTCACTACGCTCTGAACGTTCCTCTCTACACTCACTTCACCTCTCCGATCCGCCGCTATGCCGACGTCATCGTCCACCGCCTGCTGGCCGCGGCCATCAGTGAGTCTCTCATACATTCACATGGTGCTCTTACGGAGCTCTGAAGTCGTGTCGTTCTGTGGTCAGAGTTGTGTCCATACTATAATCTCTGGATCTAAGCTGGTTTTCTCATTGGGGAAAAATTTGAACAGCATTTTCTGAAATTGCTGGTGTCTCATCCTGTGGTATGTAAGTGTGCCAAACCCAATATGTTTTTGCCCTACTTACATTTTCATCTGCTTGTCATTCAGCACAGATTAAAATCAACTTCTGGTTGATTTTCAGCACTTTTAAAAATATTTTTGTACCTCAACAAAACTATTTTAATAAAAAAGCTGGGGGAAACCAAAAGCGGTGCCACGTTCTTTTTCTGGCATCTTTATTTTTAAGACCGTAATTCGGAGGATCCTGTGACATTTGTTGAGCAAAAATGTACAAAGTGTATCCGTTTTAGAGGTTTTTATGCTGCAGTTTTCTTAGATCAGCTTAGATCCAGGGCTTGTCTGAGCTACAGAATGACGGCACGTCCTCAGAGTAGAAGTGAAATCTAGTCCTCAGTATTCTGTGCGCTCTTTATCTGCTGTAATACCGTCTTCTTAAAGCATCATGTGTGTGTGTGTCTGTGTTAGAGTGCGGACCCCGCCTGCGTCTGAGCGATGAGGACGTGCAGAAGCAGGCGTCTCACTGTAATGATAAGAAGACGGCGTCTAAAAGAGTTCAGGAGATGAGCGCTGAGCTCTTCTTCAGTGTCTTCGTCAGGGTGAGAGCACTCGCACAGCACTTCACTGAAGGATCTGCTGTGTTTATATACATTATGTGTAGTAATATATTCAGTATTATGTGTTATCGTATGTTTGTAATCTGTGTGTTTTCTGTGAGCTGTACCTGAGAGAACATCGTGAAAAGTTATTCCTGGCTGTTTATGTATAGGTTAGGAACAGATGTCGCATAACCGAAATGTTAAGAAGAGCAAAAATCAGTTCAACAATCAGTCCAACAAAAATCAGTTCACTTTGAGAGTCACAGTATTTTTTGTCGATTGTATTGAAGTAAGGTTTTACCATCTTGGCTGTAAATATGTCTCACTATGTGCTGATATCCTGGTTTAGACTAAAAAAAATACGATATAAATGAAAACATAGACTTACTTTGCTCTGCTTTAAGCTTTAGCTCAACTGTAGCGGCTTTTCTCGCATCTCCAGCAGGAAACTTTTAGTTTAGAACAGTTTCTTGTAAAATGTCTGTCAGCGTTTGTCTTTTTACGAGGCTGAAGTCGCTTCTCATTTTCCAGCTTCTTGTTCAAATTTTCCTGTTCCACCTTAAATGGTGCAGCAGTTACGTTCTGGCGCCTCAGGCACCATTTAAGGTAGAACAGGAAAATTCTAATAAGAAGCTGGAGAACAAGAAACTGACGTCAGCTTCGTGACTTTTTAGTGTTTGTCAGTTTCTCGCTGCAGTTTAAACGTATCAGGAAACCAGCTGGAGTGATTATAAACAAAAATAAGTCCATTCATCTCCTGTTCTGCGCTGATCTTCAGGGTTAAAGGGATGAATTAGCAGTTCTACATTAACTCCAGAGTTTAAGACCATTTATTGTTACATTTATTTGAACAACCATTTATTGAACGATCAGCACAGCTTTATTTTACTGTAAAGGAGGTTTATTTTATTTTTACCTACAAATCTGATTCTGCTGTGGAGCCACAACAGGGCAGTAAAAGAGCCGCATGTTGCCGACCCCTGAACTAGTCCTATATAAGCGGCCATTTTCTATGTTCAGTGGGTGAGCATGGTGTCGGTGAAGCAAGAAATAAAGACCAGCGCTCCAGAAGCAAGGCTGACCTCCTTCGATTAAGGAAGAGGGGTCTAAATGTCACGCAAACCTCAATTCCAAAGAAGTTGGGTGATGAAATAAGCTGTGTGTGTGGGAGTGAAGTGTAACTGAAGCTGTGCTATTCTGCAGTGCTGAGCTGTGTGTGCTGTGTGTGTGTGTGTGTGTGTGTGTGTGTGTGTAGGAGTGTGGTCCTCTGGACTCGGAGGCGATGGTGATGGGGATGCTGGATAAGTCCTTTGATGTGTTGGTGCTTCACTACGGAGTTCAGAAGAGGATCTACTGTAATGTGAGTGTCATGTATGTGTGTGTGTGTGTGTGTGTGTATATATATATATATATATATATATATATATATATAATATATATATATATATATATATATATATATATATATATATATATATATATATAATATGTGTGTGTGTGTGTGTGTGTGTGTAATGCGATTTATCAATTTATTTATTATTTATCAAATAAGCCCTGTTCTTATGTTCTTTGTGTTGTTTCAGGCTATAGAGGGTCTCCAGTCTTTCCATTTCCGTAAGGTGGGCAAACGACCTGAAATGACCCTCGTCTGGGCACCTGGGGACCTGGAACAGGACACCTTTACACAGGTAGGTGTGTGTGTGTGTGTGTGTGTGTGTGTGTGTGTGTGTGTATTATGTGCAGTGTAAATGTCTCCACATTATTTTTAGGCAGTACGTATTTTTTTTGTTTTGTTTTTTTTAGTTACTTCTAAAATCACAAAATATCAGTAGAATAAGTGCAAATAAACTTAAATACAGTACAAAATAACAAGAACAAACTTGCTTGAAGAACATAATTGGGTTCCAGATTTCTTCCAGCCATCGCCAGCTCGACTGAATTAACATATTGACATATTAATTAGATGAATCACATGTTGGATGATATGATAAATAATAATGCTCTTTCCACGGTGATATTTGGAAATGGTTAAACTGACACATTGAGATACTTAAAACCACTACTTATCACATTAATGTTATTTGTATTGTTCTTATTGTAATTTCATGAGCAAATAAACTCACTGAGCAGATAAACCTTTAAAGCTTTTTGAATATAATTTTCTCAGGTGCCTAAAACTGAAACTGCGCAGTCCTGTACGTACACGCGGATGTGTGATGGGTTTGCTCTGCTCTTCTGCAGGAGATCTCTCTGTTCTCTCTCGTGAACGTGCAGCTGAGGAGCGACGGAGCTCAGCTGAAGTACAGCGCAGTGCTGAGGAGACCTGAACGACCAGAGCCATAACACCAACACACACACACACCTGTACAGAACTACAGGAACAAAGCCCACACTGACCGTTTAGTGGTGTAGGCAGACCGCTAGCTCTCACAGTGATTAGCTTTAGCTTTAGCTGCACTGCCTCCCAGATTAAGCAATGAACTCCGTTTTAATTCAGCATGTTTTAGAGTTTTTTTTTTTATTTTAAGTCTATGAGTGCCCAGTTTGAGGGCAGGTGGCGCTGCTGCTGCATATCTTGTTGCTGCTTTTCCTCGGGTCAGCATTAACTAGCGCTAATGGAGCTCAGGGCTCAGGCTAACTGCTCTGCACTGTAGAGTGAGGAACTCCCGGGTGGGTTTCAATAGAATAGGACAGTTCATTGAGCTGAACGTGAGGATCGTCCAGTAGGAGAAGAGCTGTTGGACAGTGCTCACTTTGGGATACTCTAGTTTTTTCAACCTGCTACATCAGTAGAGTCCAGACGATTTGCACACACAATAACTGAAGTATATTGTCGCTGTTGCACAACAACCTTTTATCTCTATTTTGACGTTTTTTACTTCTTTGCATGTTTTGAAAAGCCTTGTGTTAAAATTTCATGATAAATGGACAAACAGAAATGGTCCAGAATTACTCAGAAAAAACTCATTTTACATTCATTTCTACTTCAAGCTAAGAGAGTTTTTTCCTCTCTTCTGTAAAGTGCCCACTTTGGAGACAGAAGGTTTTTCCCCAACACTGCCGATACAACAATACAATGAGCAGTAATGAGTAGTGAAGGTAAAGCAGCAGCTCATCGGCCTCTATTGGTGGTGAGTTTCGAGTCGGTGACTTTTCTGTTCTTTTCTAAGTTCAGGGAAACGTCTCGTTTTAGATTAGCATCTTTAGCATGCTAATCCGCCGTGTGCTACTGATGCAGCAGGTAGAGATTAGGATTAAAGATGTTGTCCTACTTCCAGAGTTGAGTCCAGAGAGGCCGTGAGGTAGTTATAATTGTTTAGCTTGTTATCTTGAGATAACAAGTTAATTATCTTGTTATCTCAAGATAACAAAGTTGTGATCTTGAAGTAGTGAGCTGTCCTATTATCTAGAGATAGTTATCTTGAATTAACGAGTTAGTTATCTTGTTAAACAACAAAAGTTGTTTTTGTGATAAGTTGTTTCGATATAACCAGTTAATTATCTTGTGATCTCAAGATAACAAAGTTATCTTGAAATAGCGAGTTAGTTATCTTATTATCTAGAGATAACAGTTATCTTGAAATAAGGAGTTAGATATCTCGACGCAACAAGTTGTGTCTTGAAATCACAAGAAATTATCTTGAAATCACAAGATAATTAACCCATTATTTCAAGATAGCATTCCAGAAAATTATAGCAGCACCTCATGGCCTCTCCGGGCTTCCGTATTATCCAGCTTTACTGCGTTTTATTAAAAAACTCTCCAGATCTGTTTTCCCAGCAGATCCAGTCAGGCCAGCAGCGTCAGCCTCATCCAGAGGCTTCAGCTTCGTTACCCAAAGCACAGCAGCTGTTCTTTTTTCCCGTATGAAGGCCAAAAACGACGACTGTGCATTGAAATGTCACTTTAGTGGTGGAAAAGCCCTCCACGTAGCTTTATGGCGACTCGTGCTGAGCAGTTTCTCTTTTCTCTGAAAGTCCACCTGCAAATTCAGCGCTGATATGTGTGCTAGTGCTGAAGCTGAGAGGTAGCTTTCATGCTCCACCCACGAATGCACTGTTTTGCAAGGTCACACTACGAGTGTCCAGTTTAAACGCTAACTGGTCTGTGTTACAGCTGCTCTACACTAAGCTGGAAAAGAACACGTTAGTGGGCGGAGCTTGGAGCTCCCTCAGCGTGAGCACATCATTAGCATGACGCTGTCCTCATTAACCACACTCTGTCGCTCCAGCACAGGCGCCGTATTAATCACGCTAAAACGTCACACTGAAAATGGCTCTTCGTCAACTTCAGAAGTTGTGAATCGTAGATAATTTTGTTCTCCCAATGGGAGGCGCTGTTTTACCGTGGATATCAGGGTCACCTGTGAGTGTTTATTCTATTTTAGTTTATTTTACTCTGCTTTACAAGGCACATACGATAACTCCAGCTTTATTGGCTGGGACTTTTATTTTCTTTTTTTATAATTTTCTCCTATTCTTTTTTTAGACGTGCCTCTTTTTTTTTATTATTTTAACTCCTAGTTTCCTGGAAATGCTCTACTTCAGAGTTTTAATTTAAAACGAGAGTCATGAAGTGCCAGGCTGTCTCTGGGGTTTACTGATATGTTCATCTGAGCGCTGTTAGGCGCAACGTGGGGTTCAAAAGTCTCAGTCTGGCGTTTTTGTCACGTATTCCTGGAATCGAATGACAGTTTTTACAATGTTGAGACATTTAAAACAAAGAAAAGTTAAGAGAAGTAAAACGAAGACAAAATAAGCACCAAGTCGAGCTCACGATTCAGATTTAACCACATTTGTGAAACTTTTTTTCTTCCGTTGAAGTCTGTGTTCAGAAGTATCACCAAATACTAAGAAATTCATGTTAAAATTTCAAAAATATGTCGCTCAATTTATCATTTGTAATGAAAAACATTGTTTTGAATTATAAAAGAATGCAAAATAGTTATTTTCTTCAGTGCTCTCAGACTTTTGGGCCCCAGTGTTTTACAGTACATATCAATATAAAATGTTAATGCTTATTAATGCTTTACTGAATGCTGATTCAGATCAGCCTGTGATGAAAGAACTTCCTCGTTACGTAGTGAATTGCATGAATCGACCTGTTAACTTTACCTAACTTTAACTAATTTTTAAAAAATTCCCCCATAAGTCAGTGTCTGAGATGTAAACAGAGTGATTCAGAGCGGTTTGGTGTGAAATGATAGGAACCAGGGGTCGCCATGACTACAACACAAATATAGACGTTTTATTTACTATCCAGAACCCCCAGTGAACCTACACGAGTCTTCTGAGTTTATATGAATGTTGATGATGAAAATAGTGGAAGATCTGAAATAATAAGTTTTCTTTGGGGACTATTTTGCCTCACAGCGCCCTGCATGTATCCCTCCACCATGAATGGAGTTTAAGTTCTCTAAACTATCATAAAACAGTGTCTCAGTCATCAGGCAGTGAATTCATAACCATTTCATGTAGGAACTTTCTGTGAGGGAGCTTTTAGAGGTGGACGTCTGGTTCCTATCACCACCACTGTGAACAATTCTGACTCGGTAAGTTTCTCTAGAACAGAGCGTTTCACACCAAACCACTCTGAACAGCTCTGTTTACATCTTAACCCTGAAATATTGAATTCACCTTGATCAAAATTATTGTTTTAATAAACCTACAGTAAAAGAGACATTTCAGCTGTGGAGTAGCTTTTTTGTCCTGCTGTTTCCAGAAACATAGAATTTTAAAACATTTTAATGTTGATAATTTGTAAATTAGTCTCACGTCTTTCTTTTGTATGGTTTTTGTTCATTTGTGGCCTTTAATGGTGAAAACATTCAGCTGTTTTTCTCGGCCACTGGTGTAGAAAGGCTCTTGATGATGTCATTTCTTGCCGATCGTGTGACGCGCTGGTCTTTCTCTTCACTTAGCAGTGAGAATAACCTTCAGGAACTCAGTAGAGCAGTTCAGAGTTTATCATAATTCATTAAAATAAGCACAAGTGGATGTTTTTTTCACCAGTAAAGAACCCATCAGCTTTATATGTTCCATCATTTTTATACTTTTTTTGTTTTTGAAGTATTTTAATATCCAACACAAACAGTCGTGTGCAAAAGTTTTGGCGCCCCTGGCCAAATTTTTTGTTGTTGATTTTCTGAGTGTGAGTAAGTAAACACCTCCTCTACAGAGACTCACTACTGCACATTTTAATTCACTCTTTTTGTTTATTGAATTTAACATATTGGGGGAAAAATGGAACATAAAGTGCAAAAGTTATGGCACATTATGTATTTTTTGTTTTATTGCTTTTCCCTCAAAATATTAAACTCAGTAAATAAACTGTGATTGTGTATTAAAATATGCAGTAGTGTGTTCTCTGTAGAGGACGTGTTAACTTGTTCACACTTAGAGAATTAACAAATACATGGAATTTGGCACCAGAACTTTTGCACGCTACTGTATATTCTTGGGCTGAATCTCGAACGGCTCCCCATTCCCTATGTAGTGCACAGTGAGACATGAAAAACTGCTTCTGCAGCCACGTAGTGCACTGTGTGTCTGATAGAAAGCCGTTTGGGACTCGACCGTAGAGCGCACCACTCGTTTAGTGCACTATTTGGGTGCACAAGCCATAGTTTTCATGGCTTGCTTAGTGCACTACATAGGGAACTTCATAGGGAATACGGAGCTGTTTGAGATTCAGCCTTGGAAACATGGTGACAGGACAGAAAAGCTACTCTGTTGCTGAACCGTCTCAGACAGTAAGTTCTGATCAAAGTCTACAGCAGAAATTTCACACAGACTTCACAGAGGAAAGCAACTGAGACAGAAAACGTCCAAATGAAATTCTTAAATTTTCTAGTTAAGTAAGCAGTGGATTTCTTTTTGTTATAATAAGATCAATTCTGATTAATTAAGTTGTGATTGTAACTGGCTGAACAAAACAAATCAATAAAATCATAAACGGACTTTGAATTTCTAAGGTTGTCCTGCATGTAATGTGAACACAATGATAGAACCGCTGTGCTTTAAATGGACGTATTGATGTACTATTTGTTTGATTTGGCGTGTTCTCTGTAATATCTGCTGTGATGTGGAGTGACTGTGAGACGCTGTAGATGTTGTGCACATAAACACACGGAGATAAAGGCAGCTTTTCTCCCTGATTTAGCGATTTTAGCTTGTGTGCTCATGACTGGAACACTATTAAAAGCCAGCGACCCCCAAAACCAGCCAGCCTGTGATTATTTACGTCAGTCTGTGATACATAAGACGTGTTAAGAGTCGCACGTCATCTGATACAATGTGTGAGAGGCAGATGATGATGATGATGGTGATTATAATAATAATAATAATGCTAATAAGTGTTTTTCATGCTTAAACATGTTAATTTCAAGCTTCATCATTAACACAGTGCATGAAAAAGGTGTGTTTTATTTAGGATTTCAGGTGTTTATCCTGTGTTCATATATACAGCCACTAAAGTTCAATCTTAAACTTCGTCCTGTTAGGATGTGTAGTTGTGTGCAAATGTTTTAGTGTGCAAAAGTACTGGGACACCTACACATCACACCCACAGGAGCTTTTATGACTTCCCATTCTAAATCCATAGGCATTTATATGGAGTTGGTCCCTCTTTGCAGCTCTAACAGCTTCCACTCTTCTGGGAAGCTTCTACAGATTTTGGAGAGAGTCTGTGGGAATTTGTGTCCATTCATCCAGAAGAGCATTTGTGAGGTCAGACACTGATGTTGGACGAGAGGGTCTGGCTCACAATCTCCAGTTCTAATTCATCTCAAAGGTGTCTGATGGGGTTGAGGTCAGGAGTCTGTGAGGGCCAGTCAAGTTCCTCCACACCAAACTCACCCAGTCAGGCCTTTATGGAGCTGCTTTGGTCACTGGGGCTCAGTCATGCTGGAACAGGAAAGGTTCTTCCCCAAACTGTTCCCACAAAGTTGGAAGTGTACAATTGTCCAAAATGTCTTGGTGCTGAAGCATTAAGATTTCCCTTCACTGGAACTAAGGGTTCTAGACCAACCCCTGAAAAACAGGCCCATATCATCATCCCTCCTCCACCAAACTTTACAGCTGGCACAGTGCAGTCAGGCAGGTAACGTTCTCCAAACCCAGACTCGTCCATCAGACTGACAGGTAGAGAAGCTGATTCGTCACTCCACAGAACACGTTTCCACTGCTCCAGAGTCCAGTGGTGGCGCTTTACACCACTCCAGCCGACACTTGGCATTGTGCATTCTGATATTAGGCTTGTGTGCAGCTGCTCAGCCATGGAAACCCATTTCATGAAGCTCGTAACATGCAGTTCTTGTGCTGATGCTGCTTCCAGATTCAATGGAGGACAGGCACTGTGCTCTTCACCACTCAGCGGTCCCGCTCTGTGAGTTTGCGTGGTCTACTGGTCCGTGGCTGAGCTGATGTCGCTCCTGGACGCTTCCATTTCACAATAATAGCACTTGCAGTTTACAGGGGCAGAACTAGCAGGACGGACATCTCACAAAGTGAATGTGGTGAAGGTGTCATCCTATGACAGGGCCATGTTTACAGTTACTGAGCTCATCAGTACGACCCTCTACTGCCAGTGTTTCTCTATCAAGACTGAAAGGCTGTGTGCTTAATTTAATCCACCTGGTAGCACCTGAACCTGTGTAGCTGAAACCCCTGAACTCAATAATTAGGAGGGGTGTTCCAATACTTTTTTCCATATAGTGTGTGTGTGTGTGTGTGTGTGTGGTATATATAATATATATATATATATATACACTGTATGCTCAGAAGTTTTCAGACACCCCCCTCTCATCAGTGAATTCAGTTACTTTGAGGTGCATCTGTTGTTGACACAGGTGTTTAACTGCACACACACAGTTTGTATAATCTCCATAGAAAAGCTCTGACCAGTCCAATGGGACACTCTGGAGCAGCTGTCCATGATCTAAGGTCACCATGCCCAATGCCAAGTGTGTCACTAATGTTCAATCAAATCCTCATAGGAATGTTCAACATCTAGTGTAAAGCCTTCCCAGAAGAGTAGAGGCTGTTACTGCAGCGCAGACTCATTATGAATAATAAATAGCCTTGATTTCAGAGCAGGTGTCTGCAAAGTGTATGGTATGTGTGTATATACACTATATGTCCAAAAGTATTTAGACACCCCTTCTCATGGGCTTTAAGATCCATTGTCGACACAGGTGTTTAATGTGTGTGTGTATATATATATGTATATATATATAAAAATATGACAGAGATCACTTTTCATGCTGGTGGCAGCTGAAAGTGCATTACAACACCTTAACAGTAATAGAAGATTTAGATGAAAATCATATCATAATGACACAATGAGCTTGACTGTCTAATAAAAGCTGAACTGAGCTCCACAGTTTAGAAGCAGAATAACTGAAAGAGTCTATATATATATACGTAGAGAGAGAAATATGAATAAATAGATACACCGAAAGTATAACATGCTTGTTTTATACATTAAACATTCTAGATTAGTGATTTATCTGCATGGTGATCATTTCTATTGCTGTTATTACTGATCAGAGCCCAGATCAGCGCTGTGAGCTCGTTCGTCCAGCAGGTGTCGCCCTCGCTCTGCGGGCGCAGCGCCCTCTGGCGGCCGACGGTGGAGCGGCGCTGCAGCAGCAGTAGCGGGGCTGAAGCTCTCAGCCCGGCTCCGGAGGCAGCCTCAGCAGCGCGTGCATCCCGGTTCTGTGTGCGTGTCCGCTCAGCTGCGCGCGGAGATGAAGGTGATGGTGGACTTTGAGGACTGTCTGAAGGACTCGCCCCGGTTCCGGTAAGGCGCGGCTCGGTCGGTCCCGGTTTACACGGAGCGGGTTCGTTATTATTAGCCTGTGTCGGGAGGCCGAGCAGGAGCAGAGGAGGAGGGGGAGGAGGAGGAGCAGAGCAGGCCTGGAGCGGAGGCTGATGAAGGAGCTGATCCTCAGGGACGCACCGAGGATGGGAGAACCCTGCCGGTTCCGGCCCGCTCAGCCTCAGTGTTCGAGTTCTGAGCGGTTCCGTGTTCCCCTGCTCCTCCTCACTGACCCCTGTAGGGCTGTGATCTGGTCCTGCTTCAGCCTCGCGCTGCTTTTGTTGTCCTGCATCCGCAGAAAGGAGGACCCTCACTGCTCCGACCCTGACAGCGAGGGTCTCGGTGAGGGAGTATTATGGGCTGCGGCGCCGAGTCAGATTATGGTTGATTACATTACAGTACAGTAATGTTTACATGCAGTGTTCACGTTATTATGTCCACCTGCCTTGTAGCTACACTGGCTGGCCATTTTATCGGAAACACCCACCATATAATATTGGTCCAATCTGTGCGCTCTTAAAAAAGATGGTTCTCTAGTGAAGGTGGTTCTGTTTGTAACACTGAGTTCTCTATAGAACCATTTGCATGCTTAAATAGTGAAAAGGTTCTTCTGATTGAAGAAGAATGTGTTGTATATGGTTCTGTCTAGAACCTTTTTGGAAATCGTTCTTCTGTTGTGTGTGATGTCAAGCTTGTAAGAACAGCAGAACCCTTCTTGGTGCTACATAGAACCATTTTCCATCAATCTGAAGAACAGTTTTTTTCGCTATGTGTTGCATACGGTTCTACAGAGAAAATGGTTCTGTATAGCACTATGATGTCAAGCTTGTAGGAATAGCGGAACCCTTTTTGGTGCTACATAGAACCATTTTCAAAAGGGTTCTCTATAGAACCATATACAACACATTCTCCGTCAGTCTGAAGAACCATTTCACCATGTGTGTATACATAGAACCTTTTTGAAAATGGTTCTGTATAGCACTAAAAAAGGGTTCTTCTGTTCTGTACAATGTCAAGCTTGTATGCAATAGCAGATCCATTTTTTGGTGCTGTGTAGAACCCTTTTCAAAAAGGTTCTCTATAGAACTATACATTCTCCTTCAGTCTTAAGAACCATTCCACCATGAATTGGTTCTATACAGAATTCATGGTTCTGAACAGAACCATTGCTTTTACTAAGGAATCTGTGAAGAACCTTCTTTAAGTGAACAGGTGGACAGTTACAGACTGTAGCCAGTTTATACACCATCCAGTGGAAAGAGACCCCCACAGGACCCCCACAGGACCCCCACAGGACCACCACAGGACCACCGCTGAGTGTTCACATTATTATGTCCACATCCCTTATAGCTATACCGGTTGGCCACTATATTGGAAACACCCACACCGTAGCTCTACTATGTAGGTGTACAGTTACAGACTGTAGATCATCTGTCTCCTCTGCCTCATTCATGATTGGTCAGTTTCTGACCACAGCGCTATTCGGGAGGTGGTCCATCCTCAGCACAGTGACTCTGAGATGGTAGTGTGTGTGGTGCTGGTGCGAGTGTATCAGCAGTTTCAGTGTCACTGCTGGGTTCAGAGTGGACCTTCCACTCAAAAACCTCCAGACAAGAGCGGCTCTGAGGTCAGAAACTGACCACTAATGAAGAGCTAGAGGATGAAACTGCATCTGATGGGCTGCAGTCTCTAACTGAGCACAAGGGGCTGATACACTGCAGATGGGCTGCAGTCTCCCACTGCACACCCACATCATGGAGCTGTAAGGTGGGTGTTTCTGATAAAATGGCCAATCAGTGTAGCTACAAGGTGGGTGGACGTGATAAAGTGATCACTCCTTGGGGGTTCTGTGGTGGTCCCGTTCCACTGGATGGGGTAGAGGGGGCTGATACACTGCGCATCAGCAGATGAGCTATCATCTCTGACGTTACGTCTACAAGGTGGACCGACAAGGTAGGAGTGTCTAATAGAGTGGACAGTGAGTGGACACAGTGTTTAAAACTCAAGCAGCACTGCTGTGCCTGATCCACTCAGACCAGCACAACACACACTAACACACCACCACCACATCAGTGTTACTGCAGTGCTGAGAATGATCCACCACCCAAATAGTACCTGCTCTGTGAGGGTCCATGGGGGTCGTGACCACTGAAGAACAGGGTAAAAGGGGGCTAACAAAGTATCAGAGAAACAGATGGACTACAGTCTGTAACTGTAGAACTACAAAGTGCACCTATATAGTAAGTGGAGCTGATAAAATGGACAATGAGTGTAGAAATAAGGAGGTGGTCATAATGTTATGCCTGATCGGTGTATTTTTATATTTATTATTATTCATATTCTTATTCTTGTTTTAATTACTATTATTTTATTATTATTTTAGGCATTTTAATTAATTTTTACTTTGCTTTTTGATCTTATTCTCCTTTTGTTTTATTTATCTTCTGTTGATTTTATTAGCTTTTCCATTTTAATAACGCTTTAATTATTGTTCCATATTCTCTACTTTTTAATGTATTTTTTATTATTAATGTTTCGTTTTTTATACTTACCTGATTTGAGTCATTATTATATTAAATGTACTTTTATGATTTGATATGTTCTTTACACATCATCAGTTTCCTATCAGCTCGGCAGCACTGTAAACGAGGGTCACCCTCAATGTTCTCCGAGGTTAAACAAAGGTTGATTGATTGATTGATTGATGATCAGGTGAGGCAGGTCAGAGCTCAACACACAGCTGATACACCTGAACCACAATATATAACCACACACCACTCACGGTCGCCTCTCACCTCCAATACTGCACTTTATTTGATTACATTTATTTAAATAGACAGTTTTAATGAAGTTAATAAAGTGAATTAATTTGTTCTTTAATTACATTAATTTCTATTTCAGTGTCGCTCTTTATTTGATTGATGTTATTTAAATAAGTTAATTAATTCATTTAAGTGAAGTAAGTTAGTTGCTCTTACTGTGACTGCTGCACTTCATTTGATTAAACTGGTGTTTTTGTATTTAAGACTTTAAAATGGCTCATTAGTGAGTTTATATTCAGGCCTCACACTGTGGGGATCGTGTTAGTTTTCCGTGGGGAGATGGGAAATGTAGTTTTACCACAGGAGCACAGGACTAATATAACCTGGGATTATTTCTCCAGTTTGTTTTATAGTACAGGATAAATATAACCTGGGATTATTTCTGCAGTTTGCTTTAAAGCACAGGACTAATATAACCTGGGATTATTTCTCCAGTTCGTTTTATAGTACAGGATTAATATAACCTGGGATTATTTCTACAGGATTAATATAACCATGTACCCTAATTTCGTCCCAGTTGTACCTAATAGAAGATCAATAGAAATGTTTAGCTTGAGGTCGTGAGGTGGATCAGTGTTCTTTGTGCATGTGGGTCAGTTCAAGAGTGAGATCTGATCAGACCAGCGTCAGATAAAGTCACATTAGACAGATAATGTCAGTGACCAAACAATGAAATCAGACGTGAGCAGGAAGTCAGATCTGGGCTGCTTTTACCTGCTGTCTGAATGCTGAGCTGCTTCTCAGTCTGCAGGCGGTTTATAAGCTCAGTGTTCCGTTAAAAATCCCAGATCCAGGCCTTAATTAAAACTGCAGCTCTTGTGGTTTGAAAGCTGCTCTGTTTCCCGTTGTGATGTTGATGAATAATGAATCTCTCAGCCCTAAAATGTGTTGGTTAAAATGTGTGTGTGAACGTCGTTACTGTGTGTGGCTGTTTAGAGAAGCCTGTAGTGTGACGCTCACAGCCTCTTACATCACCGGCCGATGGGGGACGGCTTTGGCCTACATTCACTCCGCAAATGACCTGCTGTTCTCACAGAACCCTCCACTCATTACTGACCACAGCCTGAACCTGTAATGTGTCAGAAATGCACAGTGATAACAGTCATTTCTGTACCAGCAGACGTTTGTTTAATCATTATCAGTATCGAATTGATGTTTATATTTGACTGATATTTCAAACTGATATTTGATGATGTATTTATATAAGAGTGTTTAGGTGATGCTGGGTTACTGCACTCAAATATCTATGTTTTATTCATTTTACTGCATTTGTATGGGGCAGTCGTGGGCTGGAGGTTAGGGAACCAGCCCTGTGACCGGAAGGTCGCCGGCTCGATCCCCAAAGCCAACAGTATGGCCCAATCCCATTTCTTCTTTTTACCCCTACCCCTTTCGAGTGTCACCCTAACCCCTTGGAAATGAGTAACAAGGGTAGTGGTTGAAATCTTCCCTCTGAAATGGGACCCTCAAATAAAAAGAGCATCACTTCATTAACAGCTACCAGCGCTGCTCTGTAGGCGACGCTGCCAGTCTGCAGTGACAGCAGAGGAGGGTAAAGTTCAGCTCCTCACTGCTGGGCTTTAGTTACATTTAGTTCTTGTGCTGATGTTGCTTCCAGAAGCAGTTTGGAACTCTGTACTGAGTGATTTAACAGAGAATAGGCACTGTGGGCTTCAGCACTCGGCGACCCCACTCTGTGAGTGTGTGTGGTCTATCACTCCGTGGCTGAGCTGTTGTTGCTCCTGGACGCTTCCATTTCACAATAGTAGCACTTACAGTTGTCTGGGGCAGATCTAGCAGGACAGAACTTTCACAAACTGATTTGTGGCAGAGATGCATCCTATGACTGGGCCATGTACGACCCGTTACGACCCTCTACTGCCAGTGTTTGTCTATCAGGACTGCATGGCTATGTCTTGATTTTATACACATTAGCAATGCACCTGAACTCAATAACTAGGAGGGTGTCCACATACTTTTGGCCACGTAGTGTATGTATAAAGGTGATAACAACATACAATTTCATCTGCAACTCGAAACTCCTGGATTTCTTTAAGCCCAGAACTGCAGCTTCCTCAGTAGTCATGCAGTCACTGCAGCGCTGGGGGCTCGTTTAGTTCAAGACTGCTTGGTTCAGTGTGTGAACAGTGTTTACTGCTCGTTTGTGAGTTCATTTCTGAGTCTGACTGTGTGATGATGATGAGATGATGATGATGTGTGCAGGGCCACCATAGAAGATGTGGAGGGGGACGTTGGAGAACTGGAGTGCAAACTGGACAAGGTGAGTTAGCCTTAATAAAGTATTAATGAAGTTTATATGTTACCATTAATAAAGGAAACAAGTTTGCTTTAATAAATTGTAATTGTTAGCATTAATGACATTAATAAGTCAGCATTAAGGTTAATGTGTTAGCATAAATAAAGTTAATGCATGAATAAAGTTAATGCTAGCATTAATAAACTTAGTAAGTTATGATAAATGAAGGTAATATGTTGCCTCAATAAGGTCAACATTTAGCAGTGAGGTTAATAAGCCGACATATTTTAGATTTCTTGAAATTTATAAGCATTAACAGCAAAAATCGATAGCATTAATAAAGATAATATGTTCAGCATTGTTTCTTATTTCCAGTTGGTTAAGTTGTGTATCGGGATGATCGACGCAGGCCGAGCCTACAGCCAGGCTAACAGACAGTTCGTTAACGGGGTCAGAGAACTGGCCCTGCAGTCCACCAGAGACGACGTTATCGGGGTAAGAAGTGCCCGAGTTTGCTTTGTTAGTCGGCGCACTCTTCAGCAGCGAGTCTAATTTTAGGGCTGTGTTGATTCTCACTCTGCCTCTTTCCTCTCTCCTCCCTCCAGTCCAGTTTAGCTGCGTTCGCTGAGACTCTGCAGGAGATGAACAACTACCACACAGTAAGATCGCTGGGCTGAGACGATACGTGACCCTAACTTTGTGTCCTTTCATTTGTTCAAGGCTGTAATGAAGTTTTCTTTCAACATTCAGCCGCCACTGTCCAAAAGTCTGCAGACTCCAGCGTTTCTTCTGAAATGCTTCTGCTTCCAGCAAGGACAATTCTGAAGGAGTATCGCCCCCCAAAAACACCCCAGCAGCAAATCATGCTCATCATTTGACCAGTCAATACAGTTTTGTTTCTGTGAGCCAGTCAGAACTAGAAATAACATCAGTGTCTTTCTGAGGATTTTAAGCCGGTTCTCATTTACTCTGGTTATTGTTGGTTGCCACAGCAGTAGTTTCAGCTTCAGATGTTTTCCTTAAAGCCTCATTTTATATCTCTTATGCCAAAATATGTTTGGTAATTTCAGGTTTCAGTCAGACGGCCCCTTCCTGTTAAAGTAGGTGGTTCTGGGCCACATCAAGCGGCAAAACACACCAGACTATCTGACGATAAGCAGCAGTCAGTCTTGCCAGACTACTAGAGCAGCAGACTGATGTGGAGGTGAACTTTCACACAGAGGGTTAAAATGAGTAAATGGTCCGCAGTCAGCTACAGTGTTTTTGGTTTGAAATTGATGGTGTTTTCCACAGAACAGGTGTGTCACCTTTTTCATGCCTTATGAGTTTGCATGTCTGATCTCATGTGTGGCTGCTCTGGTGTCCCATTCTGTTGGAAATGCTCTTCTCTGGAGACACAAGCTGTGTGAACACCAGTGTCAGCTGTAGGTGCATCTTAAAGTAGCTGATCTAATTAAAAAGGCTGTCTGGACACCACTTTCATTTCAGAAGAAACACCAGGGGTCGTATTACAGAAAGTTAAAAGTCTGAAATCTGTTTTGTTGTCATGGCAACTTCAGTTAAGACTGAAGTTAGAACAGAAGACATTACAGAACAACAGTTCTTAAGTCTATAATCTTATTTCCAGATAAGAAAACAGCAGACTCGATCTCCACCGCCCCTCTGATTACCTTCGTGTGTTAATGTTGATGATGAAATATTACAGTGATGGTGGTGAATAATGAGGAGACGGAGCTGAACGTGTGTCTGTTTATTAGGAGGAGTAACGTTAGCGCGCTCGGCTAAAGCGTTTGGGAAATGGAGACTGAAACTGGGGAGCGGCGACTCTGATAAACAGCAGGGGGCGCTGACACAACATTATTAACTTTCAGTTTATCGCGCTTTAGTTTTATTTGACTTTCTTTACATCAGTAACGGTAGCTAACGTTAGCTCTGTGGCTAACTAACTTGATTACATGTTTACATTTCAGCTGTGTGTGTACGGTCTGTTGCTAGGTTGATTGTCGACTTCAGTCGAGTAAGCTAAGATGTCCTAACTTGAGATAAGATGTCTGTAAGATAAGATTCCTAAATTTAGATCAGTTTTGCTTCTGTAATACAAATTTGTGAAAAATCTTATCTTGACCTGTCAGATCTTAAGTTAAGACAAAAAGATAAGAATTTTCTGTAATACGGCTCCAGAGTCTACAGATGTTTGGACATACAGTGTGTATCTGTAGATCACAGCTAATGAAAGATGTATTGTGTCCTTTTCTATGGCTCCTTCACAGACTGCCCTTTCTTTTCTCACAGATTTTGTTTGACCAAGCTCAGCGATCAATCAAATCTCAGCTTCACACATTTGTGAAAGAGTGAGTAGCTTGGTTTTTCCTTTTGAGTCGTTGCTCTTTGATTCCTAAGACTCTCACTGGCTGCATGAAAATCCCAGAAACAGTCTGAGAGAGTAAAGGCTGCTCATATTCTCTCGTCACTGAACATTTCCCATTGAGGTTCCTTCATTTATTCTTAATGAATCATTGGATATTTTTGTCTCAGGGACCTAAAGAAGTTCAAAGACGCAAAGAAGCAGTTTGATAAGGTGAGTGAGGAAAAGGAAGTGGCACTGGTGAAGAATTCTCAAGTTCCCCGAAACAAGCAGCACGAGGTGGATGAAGCTACCAACATCCTGACCACCACCCGCAAGTGCTTCCGGCACATCGCCCTCGACTATGTCCTGCAGGTCAGTTTGACCTTTGATGAACTCTAGGGTTTCACAGGTCTGTAGGGTGAATTTAACTGAGATCCACAAGGTACACTACCTGTTACATACATGGTACAACAGCTGGTATAGTTCCTAGTATAATGCTTAGTACAGTGCAACTAGAACAACTTGTGGTACAGTATCTAATACAGTGGTTAGTGCAGTACCTGAAAGTGCCTGCTACAGAATCTGGTATAGTAACTGATACAGAGTCTGATACAGCACCTGTTACAGCACATAGTGCAGCACCTAGTACGTGTGGTACAGTATTTAGCGCAGTACGTGGAACAGTGCCTGGTACAATGCCTAGTGCAGCACCAAGTAAAACTTGTGGCACAGTATCTAGTACAGTGATAAGAGTGGGACCTGGTACCACACCTAGTGCAGCACATACTACAATGTGTGGTACAGTATCTGGTACAGTGCCTGGTGCAGTACCTGAAACAGTGTCTAGTGCAGAATCTGGTATTATATCTGAGACAGCACCTGGTATAGCACCTAGTGCAGCACCTAGTACGACATGTGTTACAGTATCTAGTATAGTGCCTGGTTCAGTACCTGAAACAACTTGTGGTACAATGTCTAGTATAGTGATTAGAGTAGTATATGGAATAGTGCCCGGTACAGAATATTGTACAGTGACTGATAAGCACTTGGTACAGCACCCAGTACAACACCTAGTGCATTGCTTGTTACAGTATCTAGTACAGTGCCTGGTGCAATACCTGGAACAGCACTTGGTGCAGTGCTTGATGTGGCACCTGGTGAAGTACACCATCTATTACATCTCAAAAAATGTATAGTTGGGAGACTTCCTTTAACAACAGCAGCAGACACAAGCTAGAGAGAAATTCAAGCCTTGAACCTGTGCTTAAAGAATATTGTATGAATCATCATGAACTCAGAGGTATGCAAAGGCATTTAAACCTGCAGAGGTTTGTAAAGAAACTGCTCACCAGCCGCCTTTGAAAGAATACTTTAACAAAAAGAGATTGACAGTCTTGAAACAATCTACGTAAATGCTGCTTGACATGTTGTTTCCCAACGTGTTGAACTTAATACAGTTCTAAGTGTTGCACAAATGTTTGAATATTTTCTGGGTTCACTGTATATCGGTCCAACAAAAATAATGAAAAGTTGTGTTTAATCTGTTTCGTTTGTTTCAGATCAATGTTCTTCAATCCAAGAAAAGACTAGAAATCCTCAAATCGGTAGGAACTTGTGGAGTCTTCAGGTTGATTTATGTCTTATATTTGTAAATTGCAAACCAAAGACAGTCACACTTTTTTCAGGGGACCTCCCCCAAAGCTCAGTTCTTCAGTAAACTGTATTTTCTGTTCTTTTTTTCAGATGCTGTCGTTCATGAATGCCAACTTGAGCTTCTTCCAGCAGGGCTACCACCTCTTCAGTGACCTGCAGCCCCTCATGAAGCAGCTCGGGGGACAGGTGCCATACACAGCATACGCAACATAAAGCCTTTGAGTGCCAGTGTAGCTCCCCCTAGTGGAAAATCTTTAGCCTGCTAAAGTGTGTGAGACCAAAAGTTTGTCTACACCTGATCCAGAGCTTCTTCTGAAGTGAAGGTATTCATAGTGAGTTTGTGCTGCAGTAACAGCCTCTACTCTTCTGGGAAGCCTTTACACGAGATGTTGAACATTGCTGTGAGGATTTGATTGAGCATTGAGCATTAGTGAGGTCAGGTACTGATGTTGGATGGTCAGTTCTGGATCACTCCAACTCATCGCAAAGGTATTGGATGGAGCTCCATCACTCCAGAGAACACAGTTCCACTGCTCCACAGCCCAATGCTGGGGGACTGCATACCACTCTAGCCCATGCTTGGCATTGGGCACGGTGACCTTAGGCTTGTGCAGCTGCTCCAGATCATCCCATTGTATTGATTGCTTTCTATTAGTCTATTTTCAATGAAGATTATACAAACCGTGTATGCTTAAGTACCTGAAATTACTAATTAGAAGAGGTGCCAAACAAATTGGGGGCCACTACTGACAGTTCCTCTCTGTGGTTTTGTTATCAGTTGGATCAGCTGGTGGTGGACTCAGCCAAGGAGAAGAGAGACATGGAGCAGAAACATTCAGCCATCCAGCAGCAGGTACTCAGTACAGACACAATTCTAGCTGTTGTGTGTAATTATTGTTTATATCCAAGAGGGAATCTATGCTTTCCACACAATTTCTTCCCTTGTTTCAGTGAGATATGTCAAAAATAATGATATAAAATTACAGCATTTGTTTATCGTAACGTCTAAAGACTGCATTACTGCTGACTGTAATCAAAGTCCAGTGCTGACTTTTTGACTTTTGTTACCACTGACGTGACGGACTCCTGTCTAACACTGTTTCTCTGATTTTATTCTCTGCTTATCAACCTGCTCCCCCAGGCTGCCCTTCAGGTAAGAGCTACAGAACTTTTACTCTCTCCCTCTCTCTCACCTGCTCTCTCTCTTTCACTGCTTCTCTCTTTTTCTTTCTTCTCTTTCTATGACTCTGATTCTCCGTCTCGTGTTTTCTCTCTTTTTACATCCTTCTCCTACTCTCTATTGCTCTCTCACACTTTTCTTTTTTCTCATTCTTCCTGTATTATTCCCTAACTTATTATCAACATGGTAACCCTCAGGTCATTGGGATGGTACCCTTAAGCTTACTGAAGTGGAACCCTTTTAAGTCATGGGTGTGGTACTCTTCAAGTCAATAGAGTGCTGCTCTCTCAAGTCACTGGGGTGGTACCCTTCAAGTCACTAAGGTGGTACCCCTCAGGTCACTGGGGTGGTACCCTTCAAGTCGCTGAGGTCGCCATTGAAATCACTGGGGTGGTAACCCTCAAATCACCTTTCAAGTCCCTTAGTTACTTGGGTGGTACCATTGAAGTCACTTGAGTGGCACCCCTGAAGTCACTAGGGTGGTACCCTTCAGGCCAGTGGAATGGTACCCTTCAAATCACTTGGGTGAAAACCCTCAAGTCACTGAATACTGACATTCAAGTGAATGGGGCGGTACCTTCAAGCCACTGGCGTGGTACCCTTCAAGTAATTAGGGTGATACCCTTAAAGGATACATCTTCAGCACCTTTAGCAACGAAACATAATTATACCGTATTTTGTTGCAATGATATTTTAAGTTGCTTTGACTGTGTATATTATATCTTCACTCTTTGCTTTCAGTTATAAAAAGAGACAAATAGGCCCCTTTCCTCCGGAAAAAATGAATGTAGAGTACTTTTAATTTAAGGTATAAAATTGGACCATAAAGACCGTGTTGTACCTTTGAGGGTACAGTTACACTGTTCATGCCTTGTGGGACACTATGTACCTACACAGTACCTTTTTTTGACAGTACGCTCTTAACATTAAAAAGAAATGCAGTACAGTCTGTGTGTCTGGTTAGACCTGGTCTGAGTTTCTGCTCCACCACAGGACTTTTCCACTGATGACACGAAGCTGGAGTATAACATAGACACAGAGAATGGCATTGCTATGGAGGGTTATCTGTTCAAACGAGCCAGCAATGCCTTCAAAACCTGGAACAGGTACAGCTCACACACACATACATACACACTCTCTGGGGTTGTGCTTTCCGACTAAGTTTGATATTGAGTGTCCACAAGAGTTCATGAATGGATATCTGATTAACTATGGAGAAGGGACCAAAAGACAAAATGGATTTTGGTTGAAAATAATAGTTGTGGTTCACCCTTTTAGGCAACAGCACTGGTGTTTAAAACATTCAGTGTCAAGCAGAGAGATACATCTCTGAACATTTATTATTCAAAAATAGTGATGGGGAATCAGTAGGTTTTTCTGGTTGGATTTTTTGACCAGTCACATAAAAGCAGCTGCCTCAGATGAGCTAATGAGCTAAAACCACAGCTAGCCGGTAACACTGTATGCTGGTGTTGACTCTTCGTCTTCCACAGTTGAATAAACATTTGAAAATAAGTAAACAATCACTGTAAAAAGTGGAACAGGGCAGAAGTTGATTAGAAGTGCTTTTGAGGTTTGAATTAATGTAGAGTTGTGCTTTGCATTGTTTCATTCAAAGGGTTTATTTGAATTGAGTAAGTTTTTCTTTAGAGTAAACTGACAAATCACTTTGTATGGTGTTTGTAAGAAGTCATTCTACTCTAACAGGACAGGTGTTAATGTGAGATATTAGAAAGCTTTCTAATGAAATTTTATCTGACCTTACATCACTGGCAAACACGGTAAAAAAGTAGTTTTGGTTACTTTCATGTTCACTTTTCTGGTGTCCTTTTCTGGTTCTTCACTTTGGAAAACTAGTCCCATCTCTGAAAGAAGGAATTTGCAGCGTAATTTAATAGTAGTAGTTAACTGTTGTTTTTCCTTTGAACAGGCGCTGGTTCTCCATTCAGAACAGCCAGCTTGTGTATCAGAAGAGGTTTAGGGTGAGTCAAATTTAACACCTCATTCAGAGAGTTTGTATTAAAAGTAATTATTAAAAGTTATTATTGATTGATTGACTGAAATGTGAAGTGTAAAATTGTTTCTGACAATGAACATCTAAGATTTTTTGGCTTTTTGTTCTTTTCGGATCAAAATATCAAAAGCACTGAGAAGTCATGTTATGAAAGGAGAAGAGTAGATTAAACAGTAGAAACTGACTGATTGAGTTGACCCTAAACAGTTAAAGCGCAGAATCTCAGTCTGATCTTTCTGTAATGTGTTTGTGTATCAGGATAATCCCACCGTAGTGGTTGAGGATCTCCGGCTGTGCACGGTTAAACAGTGTGAGGACGTGGAGCGGCGATTTTGCTTCGAGGTCGTCTCTCCTACCAAGTGAGTGACCGACTATGCAGGTAGTTTATCAGAACCACAACATGGACCTTACTACAGGGGGGACAGTGATGAAAAAGGATTATGTTGTGACATTAAAAACCTCAATCCCCAGTGATGCCACAGCCATACGTAATCAGAGTCCAAGAGATTATAATTGTCCGGTCTCTCTCTGGGTGGGTCAGATGATGGTCACTGTCCCTGCATCGTTCAGCATGATAGTAGATAACATGGACGTCTGTTAGCCTGACGGGGGCAGTTGTTGACTGGAGCCCTGTTACTGGAAGGTTGCCAGTTCTATCCCCTGAGCCAATAGTACGTGACTGAGGTGCCCTTGAGCAAGACACCTAACCCCCAACTGCTCCCCGGGCGCTGTGGATAGTGCTGCCCAGCGCTCCGGGCAAGTGTGCTCACTGTCCCCTAGTGTGTGTCTTCACTAGTGTTTATGTGGTGTTTCACTGCACAGATGGGTCAAATAGTCCCGTCGTGGGACTAATAAAGGTCACATAACAGAATTAGCAGTTAACATGCTCCTCCAAATGTGTTGAGCTCCAGTGACATTATGTTAGCAGAAGTGATGTAGCTTTCTGTATCTCGGAGGCAGAACGTGCTAGTCTTCACCCACCCTGCTGTGTAGCATGGTGTTATAGAGGAAGATCTAGCTCGTGACAACATCGTTGGTGCAACTATTTACAGTCTGAAAAACATCTGAAATGTAGGAAAACCCATTTTAAATTTCATTTAAAGAGGAATTCCATAGATTTTTATGAAATCTTTCCATAATTCAGTGTTTTGAGATGTAATCAGAGAGATTCAGAGTGGTTTGGTGTGAAATGGTTCAGATGTCTTTACAGTGGTGGTGAAGGGAACCAGGGGTTGCCATGACTACAACACTAATATAGACATTTTATTTACCATCCAGAACCACCAGTGAACCTACACAAGTCTTCTGAGTCTATATGGAATGTCAATGATGGAAAATCTGAAATAATAAATTATAATTATTTCTGTGGGGACTGTTTTGTCTCGCAGCGCCCTGCATGTACTTTCTCCTTTAAACGTTTTAGGCCAAAATCTTCTCAAACCTATTGTAAACCAATGTCTCAGACATCAGGCATTCATGTAGTAACTTTCTGTCGGGGAGCAATTAGAGGAGGACGTCTGGTTCCTATCAACTCCACTGTGAATGACTCTGTTGACATCTTACCTGTTTAATTATGTAGAAAATTAGAAAAAAAAATCTGGCTGTTTCAAACAGTTGTTTGGTCTGAGTGTGTGAACGGCATGGTGTGTTGTAGGAGCTGTATGCTGCAGGCTGACTCAGAGAAGCTCCGTCAGGCCTGGACCAAAGCTGTGCAGAACAGCATCGCCACCGCTTACAGAGAGAACGGAGACGAGCCTGTTGCCGTAAGTAAAGCATACAAGGCCTGCAGATGTTTCACATGAACTGAGCTTCATTTAAAAATAATACAATGTTAAATGTTTTATGTACGAGTTTCATACTCAAAAAACTATTAAATGGCATATAAAATGGCTAAACCTTTACAGTCACTAAGATTGCAGTGTAAATATAAAGATATGGAAATGAATGATTATACAAAATACACACGCAAACTCAGATTCTGAAGAGTCTTTTCACCAAAATCAGGGAACTACTTATACACTAAAACTAAATCTAACGATTGTGGACCTAATACACTAAAAGTGGTGTTCTTTATTGAAACAGCACCTTTCTTACAAACAGTTTTAAATAAAAATGCTTTACAGTTCGACACACAGGTCAGTTTCACCCAGGTTCACCCAGAAAAAGCAAAAGAGAACGAGAACATAAAATATATGCAATACATTACATACAAAAAAGAATAACAATGAAATGAAATAACTAGCAAGCTAACAGCCCCAGACACCATAGAACAGGTGAGATTCTGTCTTCCTGTCAGTCCAGCTGCAGTTACTTGACTTTGCTAGCTCAGGTTTGAGTCTTTCTCCTCTAAACGTGTGTCAGTGGTTCATTTGTTAGCTGGAATTGAACCTGCTTTGTGGTGTGTTAGCCTGCTAGGTAGTGCTAGCTTCTTGTGCTCACTAGGATAGTAAAGTAGAGCTGTTTGTTGGTTGTGCGCTGTAGCCGCTGGACCGCCAGGCGTCGGTGTCGGTGGGCAGTCTGGACTCTCTGGGCGAGGGCCGGGGTCTGAGGGGTGAGAGCGCTCTGCACCGTGTGCTGGCCGTCAGTGGGAACGATCGCTGCTGTGACTGTGGACAAACAGAGCCACGCTGGGCCAGCATTAACCTGGGCATCACACTCTGCATCGAGTGCTCCGGAATACACAGGTACTAATGCGCACACTACACTGTATACATACTACGCCCTCAGTTACAGCCTCAGTAACACAATCTACTACACCTTCTACGTCCTCTACTACACCCTCTACTACATCTTCTACACCCTCTACATTATCTTTTACTACATCTTCTACACCTTCTACTACATCTTCTACACCCTCTACTACATCTTCTACACCCTCAGTTACACAATCTACTACACCTTCTACAGCGTCCATTACACCCTCTACTACATCTTCTACACCCTCTACTACACCTTCTACACCCTCTACTACACCTTCTACACCCTCAACTACATCTTCTACATCCTCTACTACATCTTCTACACCCGCTACTACACCTTCTACACCTTCTACATCCTCTACTACATCTTCTACACACTCAACTACATCTTCTACACCCTCTACTACACCTTCTACACCATCTACTACACCTTCTACATCCTCTACTACACCTTCTACACCCTCTACTACACCCTCTACTACATCTTCTACATCCTCTACTACACCTTCTACATACTTTACTACATCTTCTACACCCTCTACTACACCTTCTACACCCTCTACTACACCCTCAACTACATCTTCTACATCCTCTACTACATCTTCTACATCCGCTACTACACCTTCTACACCTTCTACATCCTCTACTACATCTTCTACACCCTCTACTACACCTTCTACACCCTCTACTACACCTTCTACACCCTCTACTACACCTTTTACATCCTCTACTACACCTTCTACACCCTCAACTACATCCTCTACACTCTCAACTATATCTTTTACACCCTCTACTACATCTTCTACATCCGCTACTACACCTTCTACATCCTCTACTACACCTTCTACATCCTCTACTACATCTTCTACACCTTCTCCATCCTCTACTACATCTTCTACACCCTCTACTACATCTTCTACACCCTCTACTACATCTTCTACATTCGCTACTACACCTTCTACATCCTCTACTACATCTTCTACATCCGCTACTACACCTTCTACATCTTCTACACCCTCTACTACACCTTCTACACCCTCTACTACATCTTCTACATCCTCTACTACTCCTTCTACATCCTCTACTACACCTTCTACATCGTCCATTACACCCTCTATTACATCCTCTACTACACCTTCTACATCCTCTACTACACCTTCTACATCGTCCATTACACCCTCTATTACATCCTCTACTACACCTTCTACACCCTCTACTACACCTTCTACATCCTCTACTACACCTTTTACATCATCTACTACACCTCCTACATCGTCCATTATATCCTCTACTACACCTCCTACATCGTCCATTATATCCTCTACTACATAATCTACTATACTTTCCACACCTTCCATTATACCGTCTACTACATCTTCTACACCCTCTATTATATCTTCTATATAATCTACTACACCTTCTATATCCTCAATTACACCATTTACTACACCCTTTTAGTACTTCTATCTTCTGCACACTCAACTACACCACCTACAACCTCTACAGCCTCTACTACACCCACTACACCCTGTACACCTCTACTACACCCACTACACCCTGTACACCTCTACTACACCCACTACACCCTATACACCTCTACTACACCCACTACACCCTGTACACCTCTACTACACCCACTACACTCTCTACACATCTGCTACCCCCTCTACTGCACCCTCTACTACACCCTCTACACCCTATACTACACCCTCTACTACACCTTGTATATCTCTACTTCATCCTCTACAACACCGACTGCACCTTCTACACCCTCTAAAGCCTCTACTACACCCACTACACCCTATGACAAAAAATTTTAAGTTGTTTTATGTTGGTATAGGTGGTCTAGTTTAGAGTGATGACCACAGGCAAAAAAGCAGGAGAGTCATGGAAAAGTGGTGCTTCACATAAATGACGCAATATTTTTGGAATATTTGAATATTATTTGTTTATAAATTAGCCAATTAGAATAACAAACATTTCGAACACAGCAATTCCTAATAAATGCATGTTAAAAGCATGTTTTGTGTTTTTAATAACAGATTCATATTTTACGTGTTATGTTGTCTTGCAGGAGTTTGGGTGTTCATAACTCGAAGGTTAGATCTCTCACTCTCGACTCGTGGGAACCAGAACTGCTCAAGGTGAGTGTTATTCAACATCAGAGGTAGTTTAGAGCGATTCTACACAGGTTGGTTTGTCTCAGATAAATAAAAGCTCTCCAATAGAACTTTTTCCACACCTGATGCGCTGCCATCTAAAAAACAAATAAACCCCAAAGATCACAGCCTCTATAATATATCATTGACTTTGTATAGAAATTGTATTGAAATTGTTATACCTTTAGTAAATAGATCATTCTACTAAACTGAAAGTCGGAGTTGAAAATATATTTTGGACATTAAACTGATCTTGGGACTAAAATCCTTCTGCTTTGAGTGACCGGATACCTTAATTATGTTTTTTTTATTAAAATATATGATTGAACATTCCATTTTGTCATTTACAGTATAATCATAACTCTGCCTAAACTTTACCAAATGTTTCAGCTCAAAAACTCAAGAACTCAGCCAGTAAATGACCAGCAAACACAGCTTTGAACAGCTGATCACACAGAAAATCATCATATTTTACATTAAAACACAATCAAGTTTACTTAACCCCTTAAAATCTCAACGCAAACTGGTTGAGCAGAAAATCTGTTTCGGTAGTGACAATTCTTAATGTTCCACACTGACTTAGCGACACATTTACTTCAAAACAATGGGATCTAAGGCCCAGTCCCATTTCACCCCTCGCCCCTACCACTGAGCCCTTAGCCCTCTGTTTAGCGTGTTCACATCTAGGGGTAGGGTGTCCTGATTCTTGTTGAGATAGAGGGGTAGGGCGAAGTGTTGGGGCTACATGACCCTCCAAACGGAGGATTTTCAGAGACTCGAAACAGAGAGTTATGAGAAAAAATGAAAAACCGGCACGATGGCTGAACAAACGACCAAAGAAACTCACAAATGTGAGAATTTTCTCCTTTAAAAAATTATGATAACCACTGTATTATCTTAGTTTTAATGTCGTTTCAAATGTATTATGGTCGTTTTCTTTCATAACAAGCATAAACAATCGCTAATAGTATGCTAATGTCTCAGTAGCTAGCTAGCTAACTTTCCTGTTCCACCTTAAATAGTCCAGCAGTTCTGACACCTGAAGTGCCAGAATGTAACTGCTGCTCCATTTAAGGTGGAACAGGAAAATTTGAACAAGTATCTGGTGAATATCTGACTTCAGCTTCATATCACTGAAGAATTAGGGGTGGGTGATAATAAATAACTGCCCCCCTCTTTGAAGGCATATGCTGCCCTAAATGTAACTAAAGCCCAGCAGTGAGGAGCTGAACTTTACCCTCCTCTGCTGTCACTGCAGACTGGCAGGGTCGCCTACAGAGCAGCGCTGGTAGCTGTTAATGAAGTGATGCTCTTTTTATTTGAGGGTCCCATTTCAGAGGGAAGATTTCAACCACTACCCTGTAACTCAGTTCCAAGGGGTTAGGATGACACTCGAAAACAAGGGGTAGGGGTGAAAATAAGAAATGGGATTGGGCCTAACTGCTCACCAGGGATCAGGGATACAGTCTAACTTCCTGCTCTAAAATGGAGGGGCGTGGCTAAAACAAGGCTCCACCCACAAAACAAATTCTTGTGTTTCGGTGGTGACATGAAAACATGGGACAGTAATGTTTACTTAAAAATTAAACTCATGATAAATCTACATATTTTAACTTCACTTAAATAGAAATCAAAAAGATATTTAAAAAAAATAATACATTTAAAAATGTAAGTATAATTTTCAGAAGTGTAAATTTGGGGGTTAAGGTTTGGGACAGACACCTCACAATAGAAAGAACCCCATAAATTATGATTTTTTAAAATATATTTAGCTTATTATTTTAATGAATGCCTTGGAGTTTAAATAGATCAGAACAGAATGTAAATATCTAAGACCTGAACACTTCATTGTGTTTTTAAATAGTTTCTCTACTGTGGAGCTGCTCCAGATAGATGTGTCTGTTCTTTGTGTTGTAGCTGATGTGTGAGCTGGGAAATGGAGTTATTAATCAGATCTACGAGGCTCGCCGAGCAGAGATGGGCTGGAGGAAACCGCAGCCGGGAGACCCCAGGTACTGAACACCAACCTTCCTCCACCCTGTGTTAGATCAGGGTCATTCACTGACTGCTAAAATTTGCCTTCAGCACTGATACGAGCTTTGCTACCTCGTTATTGATACCAAATTGATCCCTTAATATACATGCTATAATAATAATATTGATGTGGTGGTGGTGTGTTAGTGTGTGTTGTGCGTTGTGATGGTACGAGTGGATCAGACTGAGTGGGTTTATCTGGTTTCGTCATTCGTCAGACACAGCAGCACTGCTCCTCGACTAGTCTACTCCTGCTCACAGCGCCCACTAGTGGATATATTAGTCGATTGTTCTATGAATCTTCTACCTCACAGTATATAGTGGTGGAGCTGGATCTAATTTACCTGGTTATGTCTGTTTACTGACTGTCCGTCTTCGTCCCAGGCAGGAGATTGAAGCCTACATCCGAGCCAAGTACGTGGAGAAGAAGTTCGTACAGAGGCCTGGGACCCAGGAGCAGAGGTCGAAGGTCATGGCGCTGAGTAAACACGACAAGCGTCTGAAGGGCAGCGTGGAGTTCCTGCCCCCCCGCCCGCCCCCTCCCACGCCCAAACTCCGCACCGCATCCAGCACCTCAGGTGTGTTTGTTTACCTGTTCTGAGGATTGTTCCGCGCCGCCTGTGATCTGCTCTGCTTATGAGGCTGTTCTTCCTCTCTGGTTGCTTCAGCTGATGTACTAACACTTCACTGCTTCCAATCTGCTTTTTATCTTCATCTTCTTCTGCCTCCCTTTCTTTTTATCCTCTGCTTTTGTGCTAATAACGCTGTTGGCTTCTTTGACCCCTGTCCTGCATCGTGCCCTGGCTGTGAATAGCACCCCTTAGTGGCCAGGAGGTGCGGCGCGACTCGCTTTTCTGCCCAGACGAGCTCGATTCTCTCTTCTCCTACTTTGACACTTCCTCCAAGCTGCGGAGCTGTAAGTACTGGATTCAGAGTGTAGGGGTTAGGGTTCTTAAAGCGACAGGTTGGCAAAAAAAAAAACAACCTTAAAACCTTCCTTAAAATTGTAGATCAGTGGGTATTTTAATGACTTGTAGTCATGATTTATGCTATTCAGTATTCAGAATGTCTAAGGCAGTTCCTTTTCTCACCAGAGGGGACGATAAAAGCTTATGATGATTAATCCATTCAACTAAAATTAGGAATCAGGGAACCCTGAGAGACACGTAAGCCTTATTATGGTGTACACATCCAGTCCTATTAAAATATGTTGTATAAACCAAACAAAATGCTTAATTTATTATTAAAATTTGACAAAATCACTACTAGTAGGGTGTCGTTTTTGTTGTGGCACCATATTGCAGTCTCTCTTGTCCACTGAATGAGGAACAGTGAGTTGACGATCTAATTAAACTCAAATATATTATTCAGCCTTTAGCTAGAACGTCACATTACCCAAGAGAAAAAACTTATTTTCCATACAACTCCACTGCAACCACGATACATCACAGTGCGATAGTGGTGCCCTACTAGCATCAGATATTGTCATGTTTTATATAATAAACAAAACATTTCCATTTGGTTTATACCTCATATTTTTATACTGTTGGACATATAGACTATTTTAAGGCACACAAATCTTAATAGTCAGGGCTCCCTTTAAAAGTACAGTTGGCAATATAAATACAAGCCTGTTATTTCTAAGAGAACTGTTCATATTGGAAACACCTACCACCATGTAAAACTACCAAACAAAATTAGTTTGTTCAAGAATAGTTTGATAATTTGCCTTCACATTCTTCAGCCTGCCAAAAAAAATTTTGTACGCAGGAAAAACAACCTGATAAATTTTACCCATCAGTTTCACAGCCGTTATTGATAGTAATCAATAAATCGATAAGTCGTCCCAGCTTAATGTAAGACAGTATCCTCAAAGGCAGATGTTTCTCCGGATTAGTAGCGTTTATCAAAGCAGGACTAAAGCTGTGTGTCAGGTTTCAGCTGAGTGCTCTGTCCTGTGTGAGTTTCTGATACAGTCTGTCAGAAGTGCTGATGTCATGGCTGTGATGATGTACTCTGTGATAATGTGATGCTGGTTAGTGTTGATTATTAAGACTGTTGTTTGTTTGTCAGTGAGAAGTGCGGACAGCGGCATCCAGAACAGCGCTGACGGCAGCCGAGAGATGCTGGCCTCCACGCCGTCCAGCAACAGCCTGAGTGAACCAGGTGCGACTTCTGAACTTTAACCCTGGTTATGAGCCTAAATTACCACAGTAACGGTAATCTCAACCCCACACAAAGAGGAGCTCCAGCTTTCTGCTTCAGTAGCGCAAAATAAAAATAATACTAAATAAATAACAGCTTTATAAAGTGATAGAAAAAGTGTAAAAAAAATATACAGAGCTGTAGAAGAACCTGAAATGGCTGAAAAAGCTGTAAAATTAACATCCAAAATGAAGTTCTGATAAAATTGATGTCAGAATGAAGTTCTGATAAAATTAACAACCAGAATAAAGTTCTAATAAAATTATTAATCAGAATGAGGTTCTGATCAAATTAAAATCCAGAATGAAGTTCTGATAAAATTAACGTCCAGTGTGAAGTTCTAATAAAACTAACATTCAGAATGAAATGTATTGTAAAGTGACTCAAAATTGTTAAAATATTTAATAAAACGTCTAAAATTACCTTTTGCGTTTGTATTTAAATCTACGTTGTGTGAGTTTGTAATCGTGTCTCGGCTGATGGACGTTGTTTGGTGTTAAGAGGATGTTTGATTAGATTTGTCTGATCTCTTTAATGTGAGCTGGTCCTGATTGTGTCTGATGTTCTGAGGATCTCGTCCGTGTCTCAGAGCTGCAGGAGGAGTCTCCGGTGTCCCTGCCTCAGCGAGACCCTCCGCCCGTGTTCTCCGAGCTGACGGAGTTGTGTCCGAGTCTGCTGCTCTACTGGGCCTCGTGCGCCTCCAGCCTGCCGGACATGGCCGAGGCCTTCGCCCTGGGAGCCGACGCCAACTGGGTCAACCCGGAGGACCAGAACCGCACCCCTCTGATGCAGGCAGTGCAGGGGGTGAGCTGGAGTTTTTACTGCCGTTCTGCTGTGCATTCAGTATCGATACATACAGTTCTGTGCAAAAGTTTTGGCACCCCCTGGCAAATTCTGGGTTGGTGTAAATAAGTCAGCACATCTTCTACAGAGACACATGTTTGTGCATTTTAATATACAGTTACTGTTTATTTGCCGAATGTTGGGGAAAAATTAAATAAAATGTGGCCTGTGCAAAAGTTATAGCACATTTAATATTTTATGTTTTATTGTTTTTCAGTGTGTTAAATTCAGTAAATAAATATAAATTGTGCTCTACAATCTGCAGAAAGATGTCATATTCAAGATGATGTGTTGATCTATTTACCTTTTTAGAATAAAGTTTTTTGCACACAGCTGTAATTATGTAACGGTGGCTGTGTAATTAGTTAAATATAATTATATAAGGAATTGATCACACAATGGAATTAGTTTTCAGTGCAGCTCTTATCAGTGTAGTTTCATAAACCATCATGGCAGTACATTAAATACAATGCAGTACAACACAGACCAGCTTCACAATACACATTACATACATAATATCGTATTCACAGTATGTACTGAGATCTCTAGCGCCTCCTAGAGTGCTTTCTTTAAGCCAGTAGTCTTTCTCATAAACAGACTGGCCCTTATTCTTGAACGTTGGGTAAAACAGAGAGATTTGACCACTTTTAATGAAGTACAAACTATCTGTGTCTGATTCGTGAGACTTTCGTATGACATGGAAATAAGTTTTGAGCGCTGCAGTGCGTGAAATCAAGCACCAGCACCTCATTTACATACCATTAACATGAAACGGGACCTAATTCATGCAGATGTTTTAGTAAGAAGCCAATAAAACGACAGCGTTCAGTGGCTTGTGAGCCAATAACTGTGCTTGTAGGCGGAGATTGAGGTGTAATGATGAGTACACTGCTCCCCCTGCTGGCCAAACTTTATAGTGTTAAAATGATGACCACTAGAAAGAATAAAACATGAAATAAACAAGATGTCTCGGTTTTTTGAGACAGTAGAAGGATGTGATTGTGCAGTGTGATTATTTTCATAAAATCACATTTAAACGCTGTGTTATTGCAGTGTTATTACACTAACTGTGCTGTGCATTGCTTATTTTGTGGGCAGAGTCAGTGTTATAAAACAAAAACAGTGTAATACGTCTTTAAATAGAACATGGAATACTTGCAGCGTGTATTTATAGTGTACATCCACTTTTGGACTGGATTGCTATGAGCACACAGTATTGCTGTTATCTATTATGTTTTTTCTCTTTATTGGTGTTAAAGATGATATTGATAACAGTTTTGTTTAGTTAACCACAAATCAAGCATATTTTTACAGGTTGTTAAACTTCAAACACTCAAATCTACAGATATGAGTTTGATACAGATACCGATGAATAACAAAACAAAAAGATTTGGTCTTACACAGTTTTTCAAAAAGGCCGCTGTGAATGAAGTGCTGTGGGTGTTTGTGCAGGGCTCTCTGGTCACCTGTGAGTTCCTGCTGCAGAACGCTGCCAATGTGGACCAGCCGGACGCTCGCGGCAGAGCAGCTCTCCACCACGCCACCATACTGGGCCATACAGGGTAAAACACACGCACACAGCCAAAACTACACCTATATAACTATAACTATAAAAACCTTTGAAGTCAGTGTTATGCATGTCTTTATTTTTTTAAATAATTAAAAAATATCATAATAATTCTGGCGTCACACCACCTGACCAGCTTAGAAATCATCATTTAATTGGTATTTGTAGATACTGACCTTGTCAATGAGCCACAAAGATCACTTGAGACCTTTTCAAGATGCATGTCAGAATAAAAGTCCTTTGTTGTTGTGCTGAATGAGGACAACAGAAGTTACAGCCAAAAGTTTTCTGATGTGTTGAATACTTTATGGTAAGAGTTAGCGCCTGAGTATTAGCTTAGTTAGCCCACCATAACTTTACGATTACAGTTAGCACACCGTAAATTTACGATTTACGTACATGCCGTCACTGTACGGTAAGAGTTAGCGCACCGTCGCTGTACGGTGAGAGTTAGCGCACAGTCACTGTACGGTAAAAGTAGCGCACAGTCACTGTACGGTAAGAGTAGCGCACAGTCACTGTACGGTAAGAGTAGCGCACTGTCACTGTACGGTAAAAGTAGCGCACAGTCCCTGTACGGTAAGAGTAGCGCACTGTCACTGTACAGTAAGAGTTAGCGCACAGTTATGGTACGGTAAGAGTTAACACACCGTCACTGTACGGTAAGAGTTAGTGCACCGTCACTGTACGGTAAGAGTTAACGCACCGTCACTGTACGGTAAGAATTAACGCACCGTCACTGTATGGTAAGAGTAGCGCACTGTCACTGTACGGTAAGAGTAGCGCACGTCACTGTACGGTAAGAGTAGCGCACAGTCACTGTACGGTAAGAGTAGCGCACTGTCACTGTACGGTAAGAGTTAGCGCACCGTCACTGTACGGTAAGAGTAGCGCACAGTCCCTGTACGGTAAGAGTAGCGCACTGTCACTGTACGGTAAGAGTTAGCGCACCGTCACTGTACGGTAAGAGTTAGTGCACCGTCACTGTACGGTAAGAGTTAGTGCACCGTCACTGTACAGTAAGAGTTAACGCACCGTCACTGTACGGTAAGAATTAACGCACCGTCGCTGTACGGTGAGAGTTAGCGCACAGTCACTGTACGGTAAAAGTAGCGCACAGTCACTGTACGGTAAGAGTTAGCGCACAGTCACTGTACGGTAAGAGTAGCGCACAGTCACTGTACGGTAAGAGTAGCGCACTGTCACTGTACGGTAAAAGTAGCGCACAGTCACTGTACGGTAAGAGTTAGCGCACAGTCACTGTACGGTAAGAGTTAGCGCACAGTCACTGTATGGTAAAAGTAGCGCACAGTCACTGTATGGTAAGAGTAGCGCACAGTCACTGTACGGTAAGAGTAGCACACTGTCACTGTACGGTAAAAGTAGCGCACAGTCCCTGTACGGTAAGAGTAGCGCACTGTCACTGTACGGTAAGAGTTAGTGCACCGTCACTGTACGGTAAGAGTTAGTGCACCGTCACTGTACAGTAAGAGTTAGCGCACAGTTATGGTACGGTAAGAGTTAACACACCGTCACTGTACGGTAAGAGTTAACGCACCGTCACTGTACGGTAAGAATTAACGCACCGTCACTGTATGGTAAGAGTAGCGCACTGTCACTGTACGGTAAAAGTAGCGCACAGTCCCTGTATGGTAAGAGTAGCGCACTGTCACTGTACGGTAAGAGTTAGCGCACCGTCACTGTACGGTAAGAGTAGCGCACTGTCCCTGTACGGTAAGAGTAGCGCACTGTCACTGTACGGTAAGAGTTAGCGCACCGTCACTGTACGGTAAGAGTTAGTGCACCGTCACTGTACAGTAAGAGTTAACGCACCGTCACTGTACGGTAAGAATTAATGCACCGTCACTGTACGGTAAGAGTTAGTGCACCGTCACTGTACGGTAAGAGTTAACGCACCGTCACTGTACGGTAAGAGTTAGTGCACCGTCACTGTGTGGTAAGAGTAGCGCACTGTCACTGTACAGTAAGAGTTAGCGCACAGTTATGGTACGGTAAGAGTTAACACACCGTCACTGTACGGTAAGAGTTAGTGCACCGTCACTGTACGGTAAGAATTAACGCACCGTCACTGTATGGTAAGAATTAACGCACCGTCACTGTACGGTAAGAGTTAACGCACCGTCACTATACGGTAAGAATTAACGCACCGTCACTGTACGGTAAGTGTTAGCGCACCGTCACTGTACAGTAAGTGTTAGCGCACCGTCACTGTATGGTAAGAGTTAGTGCACCGTCACTGTGTGGTAAGAGTTAGCGCACCGTCACTGTACGGTAAGAGTTAGCGCACCGTCACTGTACGGTAAGAGTTAGTGCACCGTCACTGTATGGTAAGAGTTAACGCACCGTCACTATACGGTAAGAGTTAGCGCACCGTCACTGTACGGTTAGAGTTAGCGCACAGTCACTGTACGGTTAGAGTTAGCGCACCGTCACTGTGTGGTAAGAGTTAGCGCACCGTCACTGTACGGTTAAAGTTAGCGCACCGTCACTGTACGGTAAGAGTTAGCGCACAGTCACTGTGTGGTAAGAGTTAGCGCACCGTCACTGTATGGTAAGAGTTAGCGCACCGTCACTGTACGGTAAGAGTTAACGCGCCGTCACTGTACGGTAAGTGTTAGCGCACTGTCACTGTATGGTTAGAGTTAGCCCCTGAGCATTAGGTTAGCGTTAGCGGCTGTATGTTAGCTCGTAGCTGCTGTGCTCTGACCTCTCTCCGTTTTGTTGTTTTCAGGCAGGTGTGCTTGTTTCTGAAGCGTGGAGCTCGACAGGGGGCAGTGGACGTAGACGGACGAACTCCTCTGTCCATCGCTGTGGAGGCAGCTAATGCTGACATCGTCACCCTGTACGCCTCACACAGACACACTGCCAGTCAAAAGTTTAGGCACCTGTAGATTTTGAAGCGATCTTCATACAAATGAGCCTTTAGCGTTTATTGATTTACAGTAACCTGATATATTTAAGCCAAATCAGGTCAAAAGACACGTTTGTTTCTTTCTCTTTCTTATTCTCTTTCTCTTTCTCTCTCTCTGTGTTTCTCTCTCTCTCTTTCTCTTTCTCTCTCTCTGTGTTTCTCTCTCTCTCTCTCTTTCAGGTTGCGTCTGGCTAAGATGAATGAGGAGCTGAAGGAGTCAGAGGGCCCGTTGGGTCAGCCAGGTCAATACGTCCACTCTCAGAGCAACGCGGAGCAGCAGTACAGGAAGTGCATTCAGGAGTTCATCTCTCAGCAGCTGGATGAGTCCTAATGAGTCCACAATAACAAACACCACAGCTGTGTTAACACCTGATACCTCAGCTGAGCTCCATAGGATTATTACCCTCGTAGACTTCAGTGAGCGAGACGAGTACTTGGGGGGAGGTTGTCACACTGTACACGTTTTTTTATTTTTTATTTTCGTAGTCTGAGACGCTTTTTTGGAACTGATTTCAATGGGAAACGTGTGTTCTGCTCACTGTTTCTGGACGGGGCTGCAGGAGCTCCAGATCTTTTTTATTTTTAACTCAAAGCAGTCAGAACCCCACAAGCATTTTTCTCTGTGCTGACCAATCAGTTGAAGGGAAGGAAGGGCTTCAGTGTAAATTTGGAGGAGAGTCTAGCGGTCGCAGTCGCTAATCTTCATTTTATTTATTTACTTTTTTCTGAGCCTTCTTTTATTTATTTATTTTTTTTGTTTATTTATTTAATTTATTTTTAGCCAGGTCTTCCTTTATTGCATGCTGCCAAGCTGGGAGTAAAGCTCCACTGCATCTTTTCCCCCCCGTTAGCACAATGTCATTGGATCTCAACATGCTTGGAGGAGAATGCTAACTGCTAATTCTGTTACAACAGCTAGCAGGCGCCTGTGTTGTCTAGCATGGCTAGCTGAGTGTTTCGCGATGATAGGGCCAACACTTAGATGGGTGCGCCACTTGGAAGCCTCACTTGCTATGCTTCGCTAATCTTTTCCAAGTTTATTTACAACAGGTGTTGTTACAGAGCAGCTTTACAGAACAATCCGGGTCCGAGCCCCCATGAGCGTCGCCAGTTGTGACAGTGGCAATGAAAAACTGTGCAAGAGCAAGAAACCTTGAGAGGAACCAAGACTCAAAAGGGGAACCCATCCTCCTCTGGTCAACACCGGATAGCAGCTAATCTTATGCTAGTGGAACCATGCCTGCGAGTCAGTAGTAGATGACTAGGATCTGAAAGGGTGCATACCAGAATGTTCTGTCTGTACGTATCAAAATGGTAATAACCTAGCTGTGCTAGACAGTGTTGACCTGTGCGAGCCTCCTGGACAGTAAATCTCAGTTGGTCGACTATTATGGTGCTGGGTTCGAGCCCCACCAGAAACAGCTTTCCAGTGCAGTGCATCTCACGTTTTTCCGTCTCCAGAAAAGTACAGTGTGACCCCCCCCTCACTTTGTCTTACGTTGTGCGTGAACACAGCACACAAGCCATAGATTCTTCCCCATGTTTTGTGCAGAACCTCGTTTTCGCCAACAGAACCAGTCTAGCCAGCACAAGCAGACTGTTCAGCCTCCGTGTGCGCTAGCAGTTTATATTTACCCTTAAATGTGAGTGTTGTGTCCTGTGGATTTTTAAAAATACTTCATCCTTAAAGGTGCTCGTTCGTGACTAAACGCGTACAGCCACTCAGACTTTATCCTCCAGAGGCAGATTCACATCAGAGCCTGCCAGGCGAGGTGGGCCTGACTTTGGTGTTTAATAATATTTCATGCAGTAGGGCTGCAAGATACATAACATTATGACCACCTCCTTGTTTCTACGCTCATTGTCCATTTTATCAGCTCCACTTACTATATAGGTGCACTTTGTAGCTCTACAGTTACAGACTGTAGTCCATCTGTTTCTCTGCCTACTTTGTTAGCCCCTTTTACCCTGTTCTTCAGTGGTCAGGACCCCCATGGACCCTCACAGAGCAGGTACTATTTGGGTGGTGGATCATTCTCAGCACTGCAGTAACACTGACGTGGTGGTGGTAGTGTGTTAGTGTGTGTTGTGCTGGTGCGAGTGGATCAGACACAGCATTGCTGCTGGAGTTTTTAAACACTGTGTCCACTCACTGTCCACTCTATTAGACACTCCTACCTTGTAGATGTAAAGACACAGGACGCTGTTGGCTGGATATTTTTTGGTTGGTGGAGTATTCTCAGTCCGTGGGGGTCCTGACCACTGAAGAACAGGGTAAAAGGGGGCTAACAGAGAAACAGATGGACTACAGTCTGTAACTGTAGAACTACAAAGTGCACCCATATAGTAAGTGGAGCTGATAAAATGGACAATGAGTGTAGAAACAAGGATCGTTTTTTATCGTTAATGCTGTATTGTTCTTTTGCGACACTGATATGAATATGCAAATGAGTCCTCTCACCACTTGTAACATGCGGTATTAATCCCAACCAATCACAGCTCCAGATGAGTTTCTCATTCATCAAGATGTTCATGTTATTCATCCAATAATAGTCAACTGTTTTTGTCAAAATTAGGCCTGTGCTGGTAACAGAATCCTCCTGTTGGGGTGACTGTGTAGAAAATAACTGCAATAAACAGTTAAACCAGGAACATATCAAATAGCACAGTTGCAGTATGTAGCAATATAATCACGATGCTGATATTTTGTCTGTATTGTGCAGCCCTAACGTGCAGTTCTTTAGTCTTCCTGAATCGCTCTTGCCTTTCACTCGTGGTGCAGTGACACAGGTCACCTCAGCACTGTGCACGCAGACCGAGTGTGTGACCCGAACACACTCACACACTCTCCTGCACGTGCTGCCAGAGTTTCAGACACCCCTTGGCTTCGGCCTTTGCACATACAAACAAATCTGTTCAGTTTCTGAAGCGTGGAACTTGTTTATGTTTATTTTATTGAAAATCTGAGGCATAATTTTTATGAAACTACCTCAAGTTCATAACATTAAAGCTTAAAAACATTTTCCATCTTGAAGTCAATGTAACAGACCCCATTCACAGCTGATATTAACAGGTTAACCACGAAACGCACTGTGTAGGACTCTGTAGTTGTGGTTATGCCCGTATAAGGACATCAGACTGGCAGATAGTGAAGCGTGTGGGAATCTCCGCCCATTCATCCAGACGAGCATTTGTGAGGTCAGACACTGATGTTGGACGATGTTGCTCCAGAGAATACGTTTCCACTGCTGCAGAGTCCAGCGGCGACGCTTTACTCCACTCCAGCCGACACTTGGCATTGTGCATAGTGATCTTAGGCTTGTGTGCATGGAAACCCAGTTCATAAAGCTCCCGTTCTTGTGCTGAAGTTGCTTCCAGAGGCAGTTTGGAACTCTGTAGTGAAAGATACAACAGAGAATAGGAGATTTTTACACACTATGTGGTCCTCTGCGGCCCCACTCTGTGAGTTTGCATCGTCTACCGCTTTCACAACTGTGTCACTTACAGTTGTCTGGGGCAGATCTAGCAGAGCAGACATCTCACAAACTGGCTTGTGACAAAGGTGACATTCTATGACAGTGTCACGTTTAAAGTCACTGAGCTCTTCAGTACGACCCTCTACTGCCAGTGCTTGTCTATGGAGACTGCACGGCTATGTGCTTAATTTTATACACTTGTTAGCGATAATTAGTGTCCACATACTTTTGGCCACAATGTATATTAATATCAGCTGTGAACGGGGGGCCTTAGGGACATTTTTTATTCAGATTTTTGTGCAAAGGCCTGGTGACTTTTTACTGAACACTCAATACAGCACTGTGTTGTTTTTTTAACACATAAATGTTTCCACCTTTTACCACAACTAGCAATATTTTCATGTAATTCAATTCAGTTTATTATCAGTTCATTCCATTTCTTATCAGGTTCACATTACAGACATGTGTTAAACTAGTGATAACACGAACGGTGCGTTGTATAACTACTCCTGTCAACCTGCATGTGCTGATTTTTGGAACTGTACTCATGGGACTGCTAAGGTGAAGAGTGGAAACACTCGGCATACGATAAAAGAAAACCACTGTATGTATTATAACACCATAAGCTGTGATTTGCTGTGTGTATTCATGCTAATATCGCACTGTATCTTAACCTGTCAACATCTTAACCAGCAAAGTCCACAAGATAAAGTCACGCTCTGCCATTCGTAAAGGCCTGCGTATCAAACCTTTTAGCGTAGACGACGTTTGTTCTTGACTGTTCTGCTTATTCGTCTGAAGAACTCAGATGTTTGGAAACCTTTTTATTGCTGGTCCTGGAATCAGGGTCTCCACTTTTCTGCACCTTCAATCAGATGCACTCATGGGTCTTTTTTACCCTTTAATGCTACTGTATGTATTTAAATGCTGTTGTAACATCGCTTGGAAGGGTTGCATGAATCTGAGCCACGCCTCCCAGTCTTGGAGGTTCCGCCCCCAACATACAGCCCCGCCTTGTTTACTCACATGCTCCTCCCCCTGTCAGTATCATTCCATGATGACTTATTTGTCGTTTATATTGATGTTACAGTGTTTTTCCTGCATAGCCTGATATGCTGCTTTGGGGCTGACGCTCCAAAGCCATTTATGAGAAATATGGAACTCTGTACTCCACATTTGACACATCAGATTTACATAATTCCTCCCCTGACGGCAAATGTGGTCGATCATTCAAGGCATGTTTGGTGTCTGAACTTTGCTTCTTTAGTTTTAGCACTGGAGCTATGAGGCTAAAGCAGCTAATATGCAGTTATTAGCTTATTAGCATTAGCATGGTGTTAGCAGCATGTCTGAATTATTACGTACTAGCCTTAAACCGTATCTAGTGGTCAAATAATTTCTAATAGTCTTAACTTGAAAACCACCTCCTTGTTTCTACGCTCATTGTCCATTTTTATCAGCTCCACTTACTATATAGGTGCACTTTGTAGACTGTAGTCCATCTGTTTCTCTGATACTTTGTTAGCCCCCTTTTACCCTGTTCTTCAGTGGTCAGGACCCCCATGGACCCTCACAGAGCAGGTACTATTTGGGTGGTGGGTCATTCTCAGCACTGCAGTAACACTGACGTGGTGGAGGTGTGTTAGTGTGTGTTGCGTTGGTGCGAGTGGATCAGACACAGCAGTGCTGCTGGAGTTTTTAAACACTGTGTCCACTCACTGTCCACTCTATTAGACACTCCTAACTTATTGGTCCACCCAGCAGCGACACTGAGGTGTTTAGAAATATTGTCAGTGGAGCTGATAAAATGGACAATGAGTGTAGATACAAGGAGGTGGATTTAAAGCGATAGCTGATCAGTGTATTGTATATGTAAGTTCCCTGCTGAAAAAGGCCATTACAAA